AGTATCCCTTTAATATTCCTTTTCGTGTCTTTTTCAACTAGAGATTGAAGTGTATGATGTGCCCGCGCTATAGGCTCCTTGCACATGACGTCATTTCCGATACCCTCCAGAGAAGAGGGGGAGAAGGAGCTCCCTTCTTATCAGGACCCTCCTTTGTGCCTTCCGGATTTGCACAGGCGTCGCTATTCTCCTCCCAGAAGATTATAGAAGATTAACCCGTCACTCAAAATTCTTACAAAAGCAGCTTCCCTCTCCTCCTTTTACTTGGTGTGCAAATGTGTGCGATGTGACGTCAATGCAAGGAGCCTATACACCTTTCCAAAAAACACTCGACCCCAGGGGCAACAAACCGTTTTCGAGCCCAGTCACTGAGTTTAAGGCTAGACTTTCACCGGCGTCCCTCCTAACCCTAACCGAGTGGACTGTGATTTCAAAATGCGCAGCCTGCGTAGGCGCAGTTTCAAACGCTGCTGGCGGCTAAATTCTCGTTTTTTTCCTGCAATATTTTGTGTTTCATTGTACATGTATTTTCCCGAGGGCATTGAGAAAGCATTGTGTCACACTAAAAAAAAAACACAAAAAAACTGTAAACTGTTTTTGTTAGGTACGCGCGCGACAGAACGAGTGCGACTGGAATGTATAGTTCTAGTTATTTGTTTTTTTCTTACGATCAGTTTTGACGACGCCGCGGGATTCGCCGCATGTGAAGCGACAAAGCGCTCTGCTGTCAAAAATAAATTGCAACAGAAGAAGGCCGAAAGGCATGCATTTTTCACGCTCACAAATAACGTGTTTACCGATGGACAGGACACGGACATACAATTGAGGAAGTGTTAACATTCGAACAATATATCGTGCATACCACACGATGCAGCGTTATCCAAAAAGAATTTATTTGAGAAAGATCTCAAATAACACAGTCACAGTCGACGACAGTCACATCTTGACGATCGGACGGAATCCGAGATGACTTCGTTTGGGGCACGTTTCGGGGAGAGCTTCCTTTTTTTCACAACCGCACCAAGGCAAAGAAACAAACGCGACTGACCCGTTTCTCACACCAACCCGGGCAACTATTTTTGGAGATGACTGAGGATTCTACGCGGATTATCTCTGGGAGGGGGGAGAACAATGTTCGCAAAATCGCGTCGAGGGTCGTTCGACGTCCTTCACCTGCTTCGTTTCCCGTGAATGTCGAGCAGAAAAGCTGGAATGACAGGCACTTACCAGCCTTATTTCTCACAATGGAAGATAACACAAGCCGTTTCGCATAAAAAAATGAAGTGGAAACTTTCAAGAGAGCGAGAAAACGTCGAATGCAAAACGGCTAAAATGCATGTTGAGAACCGCGCTGTGCGGGTCTTCACAGTCCCAGAGAGTGGCAGAAAACTTCTAGCTGATAGAGGGCGCGAGAGTCGCACCAGCCGCATCAGCATCAGCAACATGGCGGCGGCCTAGGAGCGTTTTTTGGAAAGGTGTATACACCTTTCCAAAAAACGCTCCTAGGCCGGCGCCATGTTGCTGATGCTGATGCTGCTGGCGCGACTCTCGCGCCCTCTATCAGCTAGAAATTTTCTGCCGCTCTCTGGGACTGTGAAGACCTGCTCAGCGCGGTTCTTTACCTACGTTTTTGCGGTTTTGCATTCGAGGTTTTCTCGCCCGTCTTGAAAGTTTCCACTTAATTTTTTTTATGCGTGCTGCGTACTCTTCTTGTGTTATCCTCCATTGTGAGAAATAAGGCTGGTAAGTGCCTGCCATTCAAGTTTTTCTGCTTTACATTCACGGGAAGCGAAGGAGGTGAAGGACGTCGAACGACCCTCGACGCGATTTTGCGAACATTGTTCTCCCTCCTCCCAGAGATAATCCGTGTAGAATCCTCAGTCATCTCCAAAAATAGTTGTCCGGGTTGGGGTGAGAAACGGGTCAGTCGCGTTTGTTTCTTTGCCTTGGTGCGGTTGTGAAAAAAGGAAGCTCTCCCCAAAAAGTGCCCCAAAACGAAGTCATCTCGGATTCCGTCCGATCGTCAGGATGTGACTGTCGTCGACTGTGACTGTGTTATTTGAGATCTTTCTCAAATAAATTATTTTCGGATAAGGCTGCATCGTGTGGTACGTACGATATATTGTTCGGATGTTAACACCTCCTGAATTGTATGTCCGTGTCCTGTCCATCGGTAAACACGTTATTTGTGAGCGTGAAAAATGCATGACTTTCGGCCCTTTTCGGTTGCAATTTATTTTTGACAGCAAAGCGCTTTGTCGTTTCACATACGGCGAATCCCGCGGCGCCGTCAAAACTTATCGTGAGAAAGAAACAAGTGACTAGAACTATACATTCCAGTCGCATTCGTTCTGTCGCGCGCGTACCCAACAAAAATAGTTTACAGTTTTTTTTTTTTTTTTTGCTTTTATGTTTTTTTAAATGTGGCACAATGCTTTCTCAATGTCCTCGGGAACATACATGTACCATGAAACACAAAATATAGCGGGAAAATACGAGAATTTAGCCGCCAGCAGCGTTTGAAACTGCGCCTACGCAGGCTGCGCCTGTTGAAATCACAGTCCACTCGGTTAGGTTTAGGAGGGACGCCGGTGAGAGTCTAGCCTCAAACTCAATGACTGGCCTCGAAAACGGTTTGTTGCCCCTGGGGTCGAGTGTTTTTTGGAAAGGTGTATAGGAAGCGAGCAAGCCGGCCGTGTCGCGGCGGTCGCCTATTGTTCGCCGCGACCTGGCGGTAGCCGCCGCAGGAGCATCGGGCAGCAATGGCGACGAACAGCACAGTAGACAGTGTCCCCGTCGTGATTACGACGGAATTTAAGGCAGTTACGAGTTCGGAAAGTTCCTTCGGAAGCCGGTGCCGCCGGCTCAGAATCATCGCGAAGTAATAGCAACGAACAGCACAGAGGACAGTGGGCGACTAAGAATCCGTAAAGCTTCTTCGGTAGCCGGTGCAGAATCATCGGGGGGAAGCAGTGGCGATTAGCAGCACAGCGGACAGTGTTCCCGGGGTGATTACGACGGGGTTTAAGGCGGTTACGAATCCAGAAAGCTTCTTCCGTGGTGCCAATATGACGAAGAGAAAACTGTTTCATGAATCTGGACGCGTGTGCGACGTGAAGGAGGTCCGTTTCGACGGACAAGTGGATGTCACGGAGCGCCGTACTCTGCAAACAAAATTAAGCGCGCCCGCAAAAAAAAAAAAAAAAACTTGTTGGCGTTGAGTGGACTGCGGTAATTATGTATGTTTATTTCTGAATCAGCTTGACAATAACTGGGCGATTTTTTTTTCGCGCCGTTCCGCGATTCTCTTTACTATCTTTCTGTAGGCTGATGGAAACATCCAACGGTAGGCTTAGGAGGGCGTCCGCTTCTCGATTCCGGTGAAGTATTTGCTGCATACTTTAGAGTTTGCCGTCGGTGTCAATGCTGTTCCATCGTCGCTAGAAGAGAAAAAAAGTTAACTGTATTATTCGTCAGCAGCTTAAACAAAGCGCGACCTGGAAGGTGAGAAACACCACTAACCTGTATGGACGCACAAGTCGTACCCAGGTCGCGCAGTACTCCGCCTCGCACGGCTTCGAAGGGACGATGTAATACTTCGTGCCGTGCGCGATCTTGCCGACCACGCAGCAATTGTTGCGGCTTTCTTGGTGCGGAATAGCCATCTCAGAAATTACAGCGCTAATCCACTACAACGCACAACCAACGCAGCGACTGGCAGAAGATGCCCGATGCAACGGACCCGTTTGCCGCTAGGGGCGCCCTGGTCGGGGCTTCAATTAGATCCGCACGTGCCCGCGCTCGGTCGTAGTCAGGGGGGTAAAGATGGGTGAGGAGGAGTGGCAAATCCCGTGCGCCGACATCCTGGGTCCCGAGTGAACGAACGCAAAAGAGAGCGACAGAACACGAGAGAAAGAAAGCAACGTTGCCATGGTAACGCGAAGAGTGAAAACTCTCAGCAATATAAACAGTAATAATTTAACGTTGTAAACTAAATTATGAGCTATTCTAACGCTTATAAAAAGCAATAAACTCATTACGCTGCATTAACTTCCCTTCTGTCGAAATCTCGGAAATCTGGTGGTTGCGCAGTTTCGTATTCCTCAACCGCGCCCAGCCGCGCCCCACCGGCGAAGCCGGGTATATGCCGTACATCTGCGCGCTTTTCAAAAAGAAAGCTTCGAAAGGAACGTGAATATCTTTCCACCGGTAAGTTCGTGAATTGTTGAAGTTCACGAAACTGCTCTGATCATGGAGAATAGAAGGGTAGAAGAGGGCATGACGTCGGTCGCGTTGCCTCCACAAGGCATGCACCCTTGACGCCTCGCCTCTTTCTCATTTTCCTCCTTACTCTCCTCACTTACCATGCCAACGTGACCACATCACGTGACCGTAGCTAGACTTCGTCTTGCTATGGGGTACTAGAATACACCACAGTCTAGACTTCAACCTGATAAAACCTACCGGACGGAGCGCGCGCAAGCCTGCAAGGAGTCCTTCTACAATCAACCATCCATCTCACACGTGACATGTCACGCGCACCAATCGCCAGAGAGATCTGCGATCACGCTGGGCACAAAATCGTTTAAACTTTTTATGACTAGGCTTCACCAATATTGCAACGTGCCCCCTCCTAGTACTTCTAACCTCCTTGGCTCTGATGATGTAACCGTGTTTGGGACCCCGAGGGTCTGCCTGCATGATCCGCCGCTTGCGGCAGCCAGAATATATGGGAAAATGGCGGACCTTTTCCTCTAGAGTTAGTGTTAGTATGTATGATCTCTATGGTCGTAGTAGTATGTATGATCTCTATGGTCGTGATGGTCGTAGTGTGATTGTCTGATGGCGTCAGAACTTCCTATATTCCTTCCATAACAAAACTTTTTTTGTTTTAGAGAGATACAAATATTACAATTTACAGCTGAGTGGGACAAGGATTCTACGGCCACTATTTTTAGCTTTACCTAGTTCTAATCTATTCCGCGATGAACATTGAAGGCGCTACGAACGGCAGCGATTTGCGGCATCCGGGAGGACGGTCAAAATGGCTGACGGCGTTGATATTGATTTGTACGCCGACGATTTAGAGCAGGACTTTAATCAGGTAGGTCAAGGTTAAACTGGCGTTAACTAGTGGAAACTGAAACCTGATACCACAAACTACGTGTTTTACACTTTATTTCCAGGCGCTTGCTCGTGAAGGCTCGCTTTCAAAGTAACGCGTTTTTGATAGTGGCGTGAGAGCCATTGTTTTCTTAGGTTTAGAAAGCTTGTTTTCCGCGTTAGAGCGTAGTTTAATATCGCAGGAAGTGTTCAGCTCATAGAGCTCTGTAGCCCGTGTATTCGAGTTCTGTGACTTGTGTGTCGTAGAATTAAGCCATTCTTGGATGTTTTCGTTAGCTTTCCGGGCCAACGCGGTGTTTGAGTTCGGCGGTAGAAATGGAGCCGGCGTTGAATCCGATAATGCCAGCACGCACTTTGGCCAAACACCTGATTTGAACAGAAATTTACCTTCTTTCTTCTTCACGTAGGTAAATCCAAAAGGAACTTTTGAACATTTGCTAAGCTAACTTTGGTCCTAACGTGCTCAAGTTTGACGGTTCTTTCTGAGCGTTCCGCTAGCTTGACATGTGTAAATGAGTGCTTTTGCTTCATCCCATAACAGGACAACTACAATGACCACGACCAGAATGTGGACTTGTACGACGACGTCATCGCTGCTCCATCCAGCGACGGCAACTCGGATGAGGTGCAGTGGAGAAGATATATTTATTTATTTATTTATGGACCTTTATGCTTTGAAAGGTGGTAAGCGAGCATTAAAGATTGCCCACAGAACGAAGCCACCTGTTTTCTCTGTCAAAACGTGTATTTTACATTCTGAAAAGGGGAAGGATGGCCCAATGCAAGCAAGGACCTTCCAAAACAGTATCGAAGTGTTCTGTTGTCGAGCGCAACAATGCATCTTTCCATCCAGTACTCCGTAAACAAATACCGGAGACCCATTTTTTTTGTTGTTGCTTTTTTACTGTGGAGCACTGACGAGACCTATACTCGGCGTCAACTATTTTGTGCGACACCGCACAGCTGCGAGAGCATGTGGCTTCGTCTTGCATCCCATTTGCATACGCTTGCGCAACTAGCTTTGACAGAGTTGGAGCACTGCAGAAGCTACATCAGTCTAGACAACGTAGCACGAAATAGTTTCCGACTGGTATATGTTTCGTCATGGTGGCTCGTTGGCTTCTGGTACGTTTGTCTGTAGTAAAACTTTGGCTCGTGCTGTCACACGTGCAATGTGTGCGTGTCAATGAAACGCTGCACTTCTTTCCAGGTTGGCGGGATGATGGGACAGAACCAGGGAAACCACCACCTTCCTGCGAAGCGAGTGGGAATCTACATTGGGAATTTGACCTGGGTGAGCTTGGGTGACATTGAAGGAGGAGGAGTCTAGTTTCAAAGCAGGATCTGCCGCGTTGTCCTTGCTAGAATCCACGGAAAATACGACGACTGAGCGACAAACCAAAAAGGTTGCTCCCCGAGCATCGTTCTAAGATCATTTCTGACCTGTGCTTCTGAGTTGAGAGCACGTTTTCTAACGCCTTAACCTCGAGTTCCCGAAATTTGTGCCGATTGATCGCTTTTACCTGTAAAGAGGCCTCGATAAAACATTGTTTGTTTTTTTTCCCCATTTTTCTTTTTGTTGAAGGTCGTGGGTGTATGTTTGGTGTCGTCGCCCATCGATGTGATATGCGTTTACATTCCTATTGAATCGTTAAATCTATGCCATGGCATGGATGCCTTCTCGTTACCTGTGGAAATCGAGACGACATAGATGCGAAAGTGCGGGCACTTGGGAGCATGGCCCATTAGCTATGTTCCATAGTGCGTTACCGTGGACCGCAGCGGACACTACGGGCCGTCTGAGCCGGTTTGATGCTGCGCGAGCGTTGTGTGGTATGTTTGCAGCGCTGAATCGGCTGTGACGGCTTGTGGCGTCTTCTACCGTCCATTATGAGGTAAGACAGAGTAGAGGGGTGTTTCATTCTTGGATTTTGCGAGGTTGTGGTGGTCATAGTAGGTCGTAGTCAGCAGCTGTTTAAAGGTGAAGTTTGAATTGCCCTCTGTTTTGAGAGGTGTGTACTGCACGAGGCAGCACGAACAGAACATCGATGGTTTCTCACCCGTTACTTGTAAAGTGTTACAACAAACACCAGAACATACCGTCTTAGTTGATTACCTGGACGAGCATGTTCGTTTCCACATCGTCCTTTCGATTGGGAAAGAAAGATTAGAAGAGCTGGAAGTTGCTTTTTCATGCTGAGTGTGTTGGACTCTTGTACATGTGTTGCATAACAAAACCCCGTACTCTCTCCTTTTGGGAATTTAACTTCCCAAGCATTTTGGCCATTTGCCAGCTAAGAGTGTTTGACATGGTGTGGGAATTGCACCCAGTCTGCAGCCAGCATTGACGAGATTTCGAAGTGATGTACCTCGGGCAGAACTAAGTCTGCCGAAGAGTGTGGTCTTTCCACTTGTTTTTCGGAGCACCATTGCTACAGACGCGGTGCGATTACACAACATGTGAAACACATCTGATGATTACTTGTGTTCTTGCATTCAAACACAAATTAAATCTGTTGGACATGAATTGACTTGTCCCAAGAAAAATAACTTGCTGTACTCGGAGTACCAGTCATAGTAGCAATTGTAGCCTCAGTTTTTCACTGTAATTGTGCTACTAGTGCCAGTTTTGTCGTAGCACGCTTAAAAACAAAGTGGTAGAATTGCAAAAAGAAAAAAGAAATAAAAAATACATATTTTTTGTATAAGACATTTGTGAGTCCTGCCAAAGCTTCAGTGCATTATTAAATGCTGGGCAGTTTACCACAAAGAATGGGTTGAATGAAACTAGGAGGATTATGTGAATGTATGTGGAAACTTTTCTGCATCCTTCAAGGAGTGTGTGTGCTCCTTTCAAACAAGTTTTTATTTTGCTTTTTTTTGTGTATGGGCTCTTTTGTGCCGTCTTCCTCCCTTTTGATATTTTTGTACCAAAATCAAGCTCTTATATTTAAGTGCCCCTTGGCAAGAGTAGTTGAGTTTACTTTTTCATCACTGCGGTCACAGCATGATGAGCACATTAGAATGTTGTCCAGATTGTTTTGATGTTTCATAATGTTGCAGGGGAGTTTCATGCATCCTGACCTAGTTTCTGAATCTTAAAGCATTAAATAGGGCTTCTGTTCTTGCATCAGATGCCCAATGAACTGAGGGGTGTTGGGATGGTTAAGTTAGTGTCATCCTAGAGGGGCATGCAATCATGAGATGTTTTCTTAAGCACTCATGAGGGGCCGCTCATTGTTCAGTACTGAAAACTGCATAAAAAACAACAAGTATGCACGTGCAGACCGAATAGACCTATTGCTATATTACCCAAGCATCAAGGAGAATGCAGGAATTGGTGTTCCATGCGCCGCATGTGCTGGCCTCAGCAGTAGTAACTTTTCTAAAGCAAATATCTAAAACAAATACATCTTGCACACACGTTTGTCAACGCTTTATTTGGGTTACTTCAAATCTTTTATACGGGTAAGGCGCCTGCGTGGTGGTGCATGGAACACCAAAGCCGGTAGCACATTCGTTGCTGTTGGAATACCCCATACCTTGCTTGCCGAGCACAGTCAACCCAAAAGACGCTGCCACAGGTTGCACTGTAGAAAATACCTTCACGTGTGAAGGTTCGCCTTTGAGATATCTTTTAAACCTTTACCTTTGTATGACCACTGACAGGTGAAAATAAGTTTTATTCAATTGACTAATCGAAAAGTCTTTAATTTTGCCTGTCTTTCAGAGAAGGCCGGTTCTTGGGAATTATCATTTTCAGTGGTGGCGGGCGTGAAAACCGTTGGCTCTTGCGGTGTAATTATTGGGCTGTTTTTGACACTTCTTCCAATATATATTTTTATGGAGATTCTAATTAGCCAGAACAATGACTTAATTTTCACTTTTCACCTGTCAGTGAAACCTCTATAGTCCATTGCAACTCAAGGAGGTAGGGCAAGGTTAAGACGGACCGGGGTGGAGGAAGCAGACGGAACGCTGGAGAAGAGGGGGATAAACCTCCTCCTCTCTTTAGCGTTCCGTCTGCTCCCTCTTCCCCGGCCCGTCTTACCCTCGCCCTACCTTCTTGAGTTGCAATGGGTTATAGGCCCTTTCTTTTTTTTTTACCTTGCTTGTTTTAAATGGGGTGCAGTTGGTGGATGCTTATTTATTTTATTATTTGTTTGAAAATTCCTGCAATCTTTCACAAGGTATGCAAACATGGTCCATAACACTTGTGATACCTGCATTGTCATCAGAACCACCCACGTCGGTTTCATGGCACATGGCATTTCAGAAGCTTTTTCTTCCTTTTCTTGGTCGAGGTGTTTTATTTATATTCCTTTTGAAAGGGTGCCGATTCACTCCTCTCCTGGAGTTTATTGTACTCCATGAATCTCCACACTGCTTTGCACATTCCGTGCTCCCTGAATAGGTGTGCACGATGGTTGAGGAGACGTCAAAGGAACGCTGTACGCTCACTAAACTCGCTTTTTGAAACTGCCTAGGGGGGTCATGTGTCACAAGGCAAAAAAGAAAGGTGGAGAGAAGGATTGATGCATCATGCACGGCTCTGTCTCTAAAAGCTGGTGCCCCTTGTTGGGCAGCCATAGAACACTCATGGTTTCCGTATATTTCACACTTTTCTTCCGCGCGTCATTCTTTCTTTATTTGCTCGAAAAACTTTTGACAGTATTAAAAACGATTGTTTTTCAGAGGCAGTACATACATTTGACCTTGCAAACACCGCAAAACCTTCGCCCCGGTGAAATGCAGTTCCAGGGCCACATGTGTGAACCAGCCTTGAATTGTGTCTCGTGGCATACATCTTGTGACAGTAAGCCTATCTGGGCCAGTTAAAAAAAAATAAAAAAGGCCTAATGAGCATGCAACATTTTAGTAAGCATTGTTTTTCCAGCTTGCAAAAAGCTGACAGCAGTAATTGCAAGTGTAGTGAGCCACTATGCAGTAATATTATTTGCTTCATACGGTAAGCTGAGATGGTCCCAGCTATCTTGCAGAGGTTATGACAATTTCAACTAGTCGTTTGGTAAGGCCCGTCGAGTTGTGCCGATCGCTTCCTCTTGCGAAGCCCGTGGCCATCTGTGTTGGTTGTGTGCACTTAAAAAGCAGTACTACACCTTTTTTCTTTTTCTTTTTAATTTGGAGAGGTGTTTGTGCACTATGAGGTTGCTTTATTGACTATAGGTGTACGCCGTCTAGCTTGTTGCGGCATAACATGTGCTTGGGAGTTATGGTAGTATCGTGGCTGCAATATTGCGTTACGCTAATGCTGTTTTAATTCGTTAACTGCCTGCCATGAGGGATTTAAAAATGATTTCCTGACCTCTGAGTTTCTGGTTTAACAGTGATGCCCTTGGTGGGTCAACCTTCCTTCCCTGGCTTGGGTCAGGGATCGCTGAAATGTCGTAAAAATTTAGAAGGCAATGCGGCTCAAAGCAGTTTTGAAAACGTTGGACTTTAAGTGAAATATTTTGGTTGCAACCCATTTTTTAAGCGAAAAAAAAAAAAAAAATATGAGGATTTACCTCAGCCAACCTGCTAGTTTTGCAGAGCGCATTTCAAAACTTTTTTTCAAAATTAAAAAAAAAAAACTTTGATGCATTTGAGTTTTTGCACATTTATTGTACTCAAATATTGTACAATCTCGAGAAAGGGGCCTACTTTTCCAACTGGTAAGTTATTATGGACATTGGTGCATTAGTAACACTCCTCTGCCCTAATTCTTACATCTCAGTGCACTGCGCAACACTGTTTCGCGCGGACACATCTTCATGTTTTCGCATTTCTTTTCTAGATTTTATACATCTTTTCAAGAAACACTCGACCCCAGGGGTCGAGTGTTTCTTACCTTACAGCTTACTTACTTACCAACCCTATTTCTCACAGTGGAAGATAACACAGAAAGGGTACGCAGCACGAATAAAAAAAAATTAAGTGGAAACTTTCAAGAGGGCCCAGAAAACGTTGAATGCAAAGCCGTAATACATAGGTAGAGAACGCTGAGCAGGTTTTCACAGTCCAAGAGAGTGGCAGAAAATGTCTAGCTGATAGAGGGCGCGAGAGCCGCATCAACAACATGGCGGCGGCCTAGGAGCATTTTTTGGAAAGGTGTATACGCACGCATCAAATTTGACCTCTTGGGTAAATGCTTTCAATGAGCACTTTCATCCACACAAGTAGTTTGGATGACAACCTTTCGATTCATTCAAAGGAGAAGTCTGGATATTGCTTGTTTGCCGTAGCAGTGCCGTGTTGTGTACATGTCATAAGTGCCCCTGCTCTATGGTGGCAAGCACTTGTAGACAATGAGTCTAAATTTGCAAGCTGGAATTCAAGGCAACTTTCCTGGAACTGTAGTACGGAGGCTTTGCGTACTGTGTACGCCTGTGCCTGACTAACTTGGTGTTGAGATCTGCAAGTGCTTTGCAGCTTTTGACATCATGTTTCGATAGTTTGGATTGTCTTGATGCATTCATTTACGCATGTGTTCCCGCAAGTGTGGTAAGATCATGGAGTGCACTCTGGCGACATGATGGGTGTAGGTTCTGAAGATGGCCCAGCAGAGCTGGTAAAGAAGGCATATTAGCCTTCCGTTTGCTCCAAACAGAAAACAAGATACAGTTTTGCATTCAGTTTTGTGTGTGTGTGTGTGTGCACTTGTCTGTTGTTCTTTTTAAAGCACTTGTGCAAATTGGAAGTAAATGTCACTCTGACACTTAGGGCTTCCGACACAGTGTCAGAGCCATGCAGTGTTCTTGTGGAATTGCATAATTCCACAAAAATGCTGCGGGCAGTGCTGCTTGTTAGCTCAAGAATTTTTTTTTTTTTTTTTTGTAAAGGGGGGGGGGGGGGGGGGGAGGGGGCACAACTAGCTTCTGTCAAGATGGGCAGTTCTCTGGTTCTCTGTTAGTGTTAATATAGCATTGTGAATAACGGGACAGTTACACACCTGAGCATATGTGTTCCTTGTAAAGGGTTGTGTTTAAGAACAAGTGATTCCAAAGTGCATGTCCTGAAGACAGCACTCACTAAATAAAAGGTCAAAAAATGTTTATATAGTTTGAGTGTCTTAATATCTTGAGACTTGGCATAAATCATAATTGAACATAGCTCGAACAGGCACTCGCACTTCATATACAAATTAATTTGTATAGTATATTCATTAGTTACGCATTCTAAAATTTGAAGGGATATATAAGTTTTTTATGGTATAAATAAGTCTGGTAATGGATATCACTATGACAGTTATCCTGCTTGAAAATATATAGTTCTTTCTTTACTATTAGAACCATGTTTTATATCTTTGTTGGCCTTTTATACTATGCAACTGAGTTATTAGATAATTTTGTTGTAACTGAGTTATTGGACCATTTTATTGTTTTCGCAAACTCATTCTTAGTACCTTTCAGTGTGTATATTCTGTAGAATTTTTTTGGTGATGTGTCTGCATTATAAGCAATACTGCATAGCCTAATAGCAGACTACTTGTACATTTTCACTTCTTCCTTCTACGAGCCGATTATTGAGAGCGTGGAACGTTGAGTGTCTGGCTTTCCCAGCAAGCTTGAGTGCCCTTGGCAGTCAAAGCGTGTGCCTGGCAGTGCTTGTTTCGTCACCACCGTCTCAGAGTGGCGGCCGTTCCTGAACTGGTGAACGTGCAAGGTGTTTCTCTTTGTTGCGAAGGTCTCTCATTGACCCCATGTTTCCTCCTCTGCTGTGGTTGTCAAATGTGGTGAACTGTGCCGCCACGCTTGTAAACGCACATAGTTCATTCATTCTCTCTGCTTTTGAGAAGGTCTCCTCCTCTGGCAGCACGCCGGCCCACGGCGCGCTTGCCAGAACCCGAAGCGACTGCGTGTGCGCTGAGAACGTCCCCTCTGACTTGGATGCTCTTCCCCTCCCTTCCCGCCCGACTACTGATTCTAGTGGACCACCGACCAAGACGTCACCGACGCCATCAGCGCCGTCGGAGTCAACGATGTGTTAGACATCAAGTTTTTTGAGAACAGAGCCAATGGCCAGTCGAAGGGGTAAGATTTTCTAAGAACCCAGTTAGCGCCGGCTCTCTCTGGAGGACTTCTGCGCTCTCTGTCTCCGGGTAGCTTCTCCCCGAAACGTGCACGGCCAGGGAGCGGACTTTACCCCGCGTTGCAGTGTTGCGCGCCCGTCAATTGTCTCGGCACGTACAGGCGCTGTGAAGTGCACGGGCACCGCATATATCTGGTTTTTGTAACGGACGCCAGGGCATTCTTTATCGGCTGTCAATGTTGATCGTGACAATGTCCTCTGCTTTTTATTTTTGAACACGGCTTTACCCGCTTTTCAAACTCTCTTCTAACGCTTGTGCGAGGGTCGGGAGAAAACTGTCTTGTGAGCGCCGCGCGAGGATGTAGGCCGGACTGATTATCTTTTGTTGAGTTTACCGAAGTGTTTTTTCGATTGGCGTCCGCAGGCTTCTTCAGATTGCATGCGTGAAATTTTGTACGTTCGTGAACTACTTCTGGCAGGAACGGCCTGCTCCGTCGACTTGAGGAATGTGAAATGGCTCGGCTGTTTTGAAGTTCGACTGAAAATAACGCGCGTAACGCTGTTCGCGTACCGCAGACTTTGCAATGTAATTTTGGAGCCCCCTTTTCTTGATGTAGGGCAAGTAACTTTGCGAGGGGTGCTGCTCATTCATCGTTCATTTTACCAATGCTCCCCATTATACATATTGAAGTGGCTTATTTTGTCCTACAAAGTGTGACCAGTTGCCGCGGATGTTAGTTTGATGGTGCGTGCTACGCTTATCTGAAGTGTTATGTACAGTGGTCTATGTTTGAACATTTGCGTTGAATCTTGAGCAAACCAGATGTAACTTTATATGGCCCTGTGCCAAAGGGGTTATTATTTCACTGCTTAATGACTCCAATAAATGTGTCATGTCGAACTAAACTCTATCAAATGGTTTTCATTCTTTGCTGTACCCTCCCAGTTCAGATAATTGTAGTCCACTCACCAAATTTTTGTAGTGCTTTGACAGATTTGTGTTTCCGCATGCTTCCGATGTCTGTGTGTACTTGTTAGTACTTGTTTATTTATGATGCAGTGCACAGTCTATGTGGACAATGAAGTGCCCAGATCACTCTGAAAGTTGCCGCTTGGCAGTCATCTCTTTGTCAAGGCCCGCTTGAGACTTAACGACTCCACCCACTGTGCAGTGCCGCTTTTGCTCTAGAGCAGCAGGGCTGTACAAGCTGAGCTGTGTACGGGTTGGGTGCTGCCCCCCTTGCAAAAAACATTCCCCATACAGTACTCTGTTGTTTTTCTGTTAAAGGGACACTCAAGTCAAAATTTACATAGCAAAGATATTAAAGCTGTGCTGGCCTCCCTCTAATTTTCACAGTTGATCCTGTGCCTCATGAATCGAATGAATTGATAATGCCAGTAACACTGGGTATGATAACCGAAGAAGAGACAAACATGTATGTGGTGTCCACCCAAGTCTGGCCTTAGTTTGCAACCTCTAGTCGACTGGTATTTGGCTGGTGACATCTGTCTGCTCTCTCGTGCCTAATGTGTGGCTGGCATGGTTGGTACATTGCTACAGCACTCCACTGCTTGTGGAGAGGTCTCAGAATAATCTGAGCACAGACCAAGCAGATTTTTTCAGCCTCACACTGGTTCCCTAGTGCGTTTAAGCAGAGGTGTCTGTTTATTTTGTCATAAACTCCGTTTCATTTCACACCCCTTCGATACCTTCTGTGCATGCTGCGCATTCATACTAAGAGCAGCTGTTCAGTCAGATACCTCGTGGAGTCACAATGAAGGATTTTGTCCTGTGGTTTCTGCTAAATCCTCCAAACTTTTTTTTCTTTTTTTTTTTTTTGTATTTTGAGAATAATTGGCTATCGTATTGATGACTTGTAAGATTGGCAACACCTAGTGGTCAACTCTTGAAGCTTTAAAGGCATGTTTGCTTGCTTAGTGCATGTCTGCCACCATTTGTAACAGTACTTGCTGGCTAAAACATGAACCTCTTGGAATTACAGAGTAGGTTCAGAAAGTTTCTGGAATTGTACAGAGTGTCCCTTTAACGCTTTTGGTTAATCATACCCAAAGAGAAGTTTGTACAGTCCCGTTTTATAACATTGGAAGAATATTTGTTGTGGTGTCGGGTTTTTGAGGTTTGACGTGTTGGGGGGTGCATGTTTTTATTTAAAGCGGGGTGAAAAAAAGTTGCTATCAAGGGACACGCTAATGGACCCTCGAAAATGTTTGTTGTGACGCAAAAACATTTACATCTTGTGAGAAAATGAGAACAAGCCAGTTATGACTTGTTATTATTGAGATAACGTTAAATCGTTGCTACTTCCAAGTGTTATATTTGTTCTTCAATGAATAAAGCATACTCCAAAGTTCAGCTTGTTTTTACACCTGCACAAGTATCAGAGCATACATTGTGTCTTTTTGTACAGCTTGTGCAAATTACGTAGGGTATGTTATATTTCTCAATTTCTTTTGTCATTCAGAGCTTGTCACCAACCAAACTTTCAAAATAATGGAATCTCGTTTTTAAAAAAATTTCGATGAAGAAAAGTATTTTGTACGCGGTTTTCATCGAGCTCGACCCTTCGCTTTTATGCATTGAAGGAGGGTACTTCGACCAAACATTAACACTATTGTTTTGTCACCTGACTTGTCTGCCGCATGTTTTATTTTTTTGCTTGTGTAGACCATATGCCAAAAAAAATGGGTAGCATGTTCACAAAGAGGAAAAGAGTGGAGATTAAACTTGGCCTCTAGGATCTTCTGGAAAAATGAATTAATAAAAAAATGTGAAAGAGGAGAAAGCTCTGGTGTTGAGAGTGTCTGATGTGTGTGGTTGGTGTTGGTGGAGATTTTATTTTGTTATTTTGACGAGAGAAAAGTGTTCTTTGTATCGATGTTGCCATTACTGGTTCCTTTTACTATTGCCATTTCCACTTGCTGAGGCTACTCATTTGTTCGGCCAGGTTTTGCATTGTAACCCTTGGATCGGACAGCTCTTTCCGAGCGGTCATGGACAAGCTTCCAAAAAAGTGAGTGGGCAACAATGGTCCCGCCTTTGTCAAAAAAGATGGTGGGCAACAATGCTCCCGCCTTTGTCAAAAAAGATGGCAGCGCTTCTTTTTTTTTTTTACACTTCATAATATTTTAGGTTTTCTAGAGGAGCTTTCTAACGTTTTGTCTGATGCTGTTGTCAGATTGTCTAGGCAAACTCTGTTAGCTACCAAAGGCAAACAAACTTCGCACTTTCCCTGTTTGACTTGTTGGAAGCAAATAAACTTTGAACGATTCTTTTACTTATTAGTCTTGCAAAACACCATCCTCTCCATCTATACGAGCGTCGTTTTGTTCCGGTTTTTGCGTCAACGTGTGCGGTAACCTTTTCAGAGAGCTTCATGGCCAGAACCCCGTGGTGACCCCCTGCAGCCGACAGCACCTGAACCACTTTGAGATGCAGAGCCGTAAGCCTACCCAGGGTACGCAGTTGACGCATCTCTAGCTCTTGCGACGAAGTAACTTGTAGATTTTCATGCGTTTCTGCTCGTAACGTATTGCGCCGTCTATCCTACGAATCGTCGAAATAGATCGGTACAGGTACAGTCTTGCAATATGAAGGACACATGTGCCGAGGCAGTTTATGCGGCTGTGCCAAGTACACGTTGGCCTGAGACGTTTCATTTTTAGAGCAAGAATAGAACGAAGGTTCATTTATTTCTTCACCCGATGTGGGCCCAACCAAAGGGAACCCTGAACTGCCTCTCCGAATGGGTCTTTTTGTATGGTTGAGGGGTGTACTTTGATGCCACGCTTTCTTGTCTTGGAGCGTTGCGTCAAATTCAAATTAAATTGGTTCCTTTCGACACTCTTGCAGCCTCGTCGCAGTCGCGCGAACATGACGAGTTCTACCGTGGGGAGCGCCGCACCGATCGCTACGTCGGCAAGTACGAGCGAAACTCCGGTGAGTCCACTCGCTTCGTCGTTTGCATAGATTCGGGGGTGTAACTGACTTTTTTCTGTCTTTTTTGGGCACAGGTGGCTACGAAGGCAAAGGAGGTCGTGACCGTGAGTTGAAGTCTCGATACTCGAAGGCCGCTTAAAGAGCCGCGGCGAGAAACGGCGTTCGGTGCTAAATTCGCCGTCATTTTGTCTCTTGTCGAGTCTGGGGCATCAACACGTCTTGCTCGACGACGCTTTACGAGCCGCACAGTCCTAAGCTGGAGCGAAAGAGTGCCGTCTGAACGTAGAAGTAGTCGGGAACTAGCTTCGTCGATTGCAACTTTTACGAGCGGAAATTTAACGGTCGTGTAGTCCGCTTGCGATGCGAGAAAAGGAATGCCACGCTCTAGTCGTGTTGTGTCCGTGCCATCTCGAGGCACTTTGGGTCGCGTGCGGTGTAGACAGGTTTTTTTTTCAGCTGTTCCAACTGATCGCCGGGCAAAGCCAGTTCACGAGCTACGTTACCTTTCAGCATCCTCTCTGCTTTCGACGCCGGTAGTATGTTTTGCGGCGCTCTTCTCTCGTGCGCCTGCACGTAGTAGTTTGTTGGCTTCCGGTTGTTTGATCTGTGGTGTTTGTGCAACTACTAAGGGAATAAAACTTCTGGATCTGAAGCCAGGGACGTTTCAAACTGTTGACGCATCTCTTACGGCGGTGGCCGTGATTGGCAAGGTTTCGCGGCAGATCCAGCGTGCATCGTGGCCGGCTAAATTTAGTAGGAAACGCTTCCCACTGCATTTAGTGGGGAATCACGGTACGACATCACCTGACACTACAATCGTGCAAAAAGTCTTCCGGTTAAATTTGCCACATAAATTTCCTCGCTAAACTTGCGGGGGGGGGGGGGGGGGGGGGGGATTTATGGCGTTACATGTACATGCGATGTCACTGTCACGTGATGTCGCAATTTCTGTGCTAAATTTAACAGGAAGCATTTAAAATTGTGATGTTGCGCGGCATAGTACTTCTTAATTCTTTGCCAAATTTTGAATGATGGTGGAGAATAATTGCATGTATTCTGTGTACTGCAGTGTCTGAGAGGCGCCTTGGCTGTTGCTCGGTTCATTTGCAAGACATTGCAAAAAACTAAACTTTCTTTTTTTTTTTCTTTTTAAGAGACAACACTGTTTCTAGAGCTTTATTTTTTTTTATCTAACTTGTGATTCAATTCAAATGAAATTTACATAGCTTATCTGCCATTGCAGTCTGACTACAAATATGTACTTGGTTTTGATGTAACATAATTAGTTTTGTTAATATTGCAAATTTCATTTTCAAAGATTCTGGGAAGGATTAAAACAAATTGGAATGCTGATATACATGTATCAGTGAATTAAATGGTGTGTGGAATTTAATAAAGCATTAATGAAAGCTCTAGGGTACTTTATAAACTTTCGAGGACACTTTTGAACTTGAATGATTTATTGCAGGATGCCTAAAAGTCACCTAAGAAAAAGCTTGATACCCTATTTGATATATCTACCCCTTATTGCATGCGTCACAGATATGCCTACCGCAGGGAAAAAAAAACAATATGAAGATTAGATATGTACAAGTGGAGATATGGCTGCCATAAAATTGTAAAGAGTGTAAAAAATCATCTGCAGACCCATTTTCCTTTGTTTCCAAGACAATATTTCAAGATGAGAGATACTTATATGACTAATATCCTTCAGGACAAGGTGATAAGTGCCTGCCAATTTCAAAAAACACAATTTCAAAAATGACTTTTCTTAATATATTTTTGCCTCGGAGCAGTGTTTCCCCTTAAGACACGACAAGCATATTGGAAGCGGTTTCGTTGCACAGCGCAGTCAAACCCGTCCTTTGGTGCCGAAAGGGATCGGGTGACGGGTTGGGTGCTGTTTTCAGGGGGCGACCCGTACCACATGGGGGGCAACGACCGGGGGCCCCCGTCGGGGAGGCTGGGGCCCCGTGGCCCCTCGCCCCAGGGACGTTCGGAGAGGAGCCGCCACAACCCGTTCCCCGGCCAGGGGCGCATGCCCCCCGTGGGGCCCCCCCTGATGGGGCAGGGACCCCCGCCCCCGCAGTTCAACCCCGGTGAGTTCCTGTCATGTGCCAGGTGCCCATCGCCCTCGACCGACTTGTGTTGTTTGCCGAAAAGTTAGACGCAGCCGTTTGGCTGGGTGGTGGCGAGACTGCCCTTTCGGAATCGGCCTGTTACGGATAGAACGACCGTTTTTAGACTCACTGGCAATTGCAGCTTGAATCCGACTGGTGCTGCCTGGCGTTGAAGTTGCCAAGTACGATTGCCAATGACTTTTGGACAATTTTTAATTAGGTTCGATTCCGTCACGAAATTCACGTCGGTGTTTGGGGCAACCGAAGCTATCCCACATCTCTCTCGGGCGGGCACCCTTCTCCCGAGCAAAGGGGAACGGTGCGGGAACTAGTGCAGCCTTGGAGCACGTCTACTTAAGTCTTGGATAATCCGTAGCTATGCGTTATTTTGTTTGTAGTACATGATTGTGCAAGCGGGTCATCCGGCTCCAGCCCTGTCTCCTGTGTGAGCAAGTACACACAGTCACAAGCCTGTCAATGTTACCTTGCACATGACTGCACAGATCGGGCACCGGTAGGGACGCCGAGCTTGCGTCTCCATTGTAGTACAAAGGACTAACTGTTTCATCAACAACCCCACAAAAAAGAAAGAAATGCGCCCAGGAGAGTGGTTTCCAAGAGCGTCTATGAGCGGCGAGCTTAGGAAATACTTTGCCGTTCCAGACTTTCCACCGCCGCCAATGCGCATTGGAGGACCCCCAGGCCCCCCGCCGGTCCATCCCCCGGGACCGCCCCCTCCGCTCAGAGGTCCGCCCCCGCAAGGTGGACCCCCCGGGGCCCCGCCCCCGATTTCACTCCAGGGACCTCCCCCACCCCAGGGTGCAATGCCTCCACGCACTGGCCCACCCCCGGGACTGCTGCGCATGGTGGGTGTCACTCTATCACATTTTTGCGTCGGCGGTGGGGGTTGTATTTCAGCATAGAGAAATTAGCGTGGTACAGGTGTGTTGAGTTTCACTCTCCTTTTGCCTCGACTAATCCTGTTAAGTTTAATGTTTGATTCGAGCTGTGGCTCGCTTTAATGCTATGGGCGTCTTCAGTTGCCCTGCGTTTATCTTCTCAGTGTATGCTGCGGAAGTGGATGTTCTGACTTTCCTACCTGTACTTAGGCGTGGCAAAACCTTTATTATCAACCGCTTCTGCGCAACTGCTTTCTTGCACGTCATACGTGCCAGTCGTTGCGATTCTCCGAACAAGACCAGCGAATCGGAAAGGATGGATGACATTTGGGCACCCGACCCTAACTAGGTCATTGGCAAACTTCGAAGGCCAGTGCAAATTGCACTTTTTGTCCCGAACTTGATTTGCACCTCGTCGCTTTCTTGCCTCCTTTCGTAAATTGCAACAATTGGATGCGCATACTTTGTTTGTAGAAAGGTATCATTGGACCCAAGCGAACGGGATAAACTGCGCGTAACACCCTCACAAAGTTCACTACAGTCAAACGCCTGTATAACGAAGCGTGTGGGACCGTGGTAATTCTTCATTATACACGTCACTTTGTTATATCCGTCGCGCTCTTTAATGACCCCAATAAAGAAGATAAACCACGAAATAGCCCGTTGTACAGGCTATTTCGTAGTAGAAGCGTTCTTTGTAGTGGCGTTTGACTGTACTGCAGAGTTCATTGAGGAAAGCAGCCGTCGCGTCGATTTGAACGCTCGAAAGAAACATCCTCTCACCTTTGCGATTTGTCCTTTGGCAGCCCCCTCCCAGGGGACCTCCCCCTCCGCTGGGGGCCCCCAGAGGTCCATCACTGATGCCCGACCATAGGGGACCGCCCCCCGTCACGTCGGACTGGGAGAGACCGCCCGGTGAGACCCTTCCTTCCTTCGTTCAACATTCGCAGCCGGCTCAGGGCCTTCGGCGACCGACAGTTCCGACCCCGGTTCGGAAGTGTGTTATCGTTGACCGCATTGATACGTTGGCTCATTTTCCGCACGTGCCGGTACGATCGAAGGGACGAGCATGCCACGGGGCGTGCTCTGAGCAAGCGGGTTTTACGCTAGAACCAGATGTGAACACATTTGTTTCGGCATAGGTTCCTTTAGAACTGACACTGGCAGTTTTGAATGTGACATTGGAACAAAATAAAATTACACATTGCCGTTACAGTTCCATTAGGAAGTGCCAAGAAAGTAGGTACCCTACGACACACCTAATCGCTTCGGAACAATACATCTCGATAGGATTGAAACAATTTAGCTAGAGCCACTAAATAAGCTGCACTTCAGAGTAATGACACTTACCCATCTTGGTACCTAAAGTAATGGCTGCCAATTATCTGGAGCTTTCTCTGAAATCGCAGAAAACGCTTTTCTGTCCTCCACAAATGTTTAAACAGTTTGCGACAGAGAAAAGCGATATTACATGAGCTTCCTAACACCGCATCTAATGCTGAGGGCGCACTTCTGAATCCCGACGGTCGGCATTTGCGTCTGCTCCGTAGTAAGCCCCAAGATGATGGCACCCACAAGAATATCGGTGAACAGAGTGCCAATACTCTAAGCGTAGCTCATGTGGTGGCTCTAAGTATAGCTATGTTTTCAAGTATATCTACAGACGCAGCACACCCACATCAAGTTGTCGTCTCCATTCGCCGGAGCCCACTAGAGCACTGCATTCCTTTTCTCCGTCGTTCTATCCGCGACTAAGTCACCTAGTCTGTTTGTGGCGCCGGGTACATACAGCGCCGACCGGATGCCAGTTACGGTTTGCAGCCGAAATCGCGGCAAATTTTGCGGCTCTGACGAGTCGTCCGGCCAACCTAACCATCGTCCTCGTTTGCGAAGTCCCGGCGTCGGGAGCTCACGCGGGTGTGCCGTGTGCACCACGCAGGCATGCACTCACTGCCGCCGGTGTCTCAGCCTCCTCCACACACCCCCGGAGGGGTGCCACCGGGTCCCGCACCCCCGGGCATGCCACCAAACAGACTGCCACCACCCGGTGAGTTCTGGGGCGTCGGAACAGTGGGTTTACCGCCCCGTACGACCCGTGCGTCAATCTTGGCAACGGGTCGTAGAAGTTGTGGAGAAAGAGACGAGCGAATGCCGGCGTCGCTCTTGTTGTGCCGTCCCAACTCGCTGCAAAGGCTTTCGAGGGCCGTCAAAGTGAGAGCAAGCCACAGCAGAATGGGCCTCTGCCTGTTCTGCCATTTTGGTTCCGTGAAGTCACCGTGCAAAAGTCAAGGGAACCGTACGTGAGGATGCGGCTAATGCACCTGTCGGAGATGCGCTCTATGCAATGTAGTTGAGGCACTGCCACTTGGGGAACGCTTATTTGTGTCGTTTCCTGAAACAAATAATTGCGAAACAACGCCTTTCCGTCTGGTGCACGAGCAACTTTCGGAAGCCTCGGAGTCGCGGCTGACGTATCGCCGAGACGCTTGATTTGGCTTCTCCAGGCCCCGAAGAACCCAAGTTGCTTGGCGAGATTTCGACTGCTTCTCCGAGATGCTCGAGGAGGTTTTTGTCGAGTTATTTTTTGCCAGCTTTAACTGTGCCTCCATGATTTGCATATGAAGGCTGCTGTGAAACATGGGATTCCCGGTTTTTACCTCAGATGTTTTGTAAGGGCAAATATTAATTTCGGATGTGAAACGCTGAATCTGCAACAAAAAAATAGGTCTCATCCTCTCCTTTTTTTTTTATCACAAACTTGAGAAATTGATACCTGTAGGTGTAAACTGCCGAGCTTGCACCCGTGTTGGTGCGAGTGCCCACCGTTTGTTCTGTCCGTTTTAGGATTGGCTAGTGTATGCTAAGAGTATGTAAATAGGGTTCAAGGTGTGCCCAATATATTTGGCGTTCTTACCCTGGGGGGTTCTGGTGTGTTCAGTGCATTACGGTCGTCTGCCATTTTTACCTCTAAATGCTCCCACAAGTGTAAGCAACACATTGGTAGCGATCGCACTCTTGAAAATAATTTAAGAGAGATGCTGCTGCAGGAGCAAGAGCTTGCGCCTTTACGTGCGGACTGTACGGTAATCACAAGCTTCCTTTCCACAACAGTGGTGCCGGCCCCCAACGTTCCACCGCCTGCTCCGCACGTGAACCCGGCGTTCTTCCCGCAACACGCTGGCCTGCCCCCTCCCCCAACTTCGTCGCAGCCGTCTGACCCCTACGGACGGCCTCCCCCGGCGCCCTACACGCAGGACTACCGCGGACACACCAACGACAGGTACGTGCGGCCCTCGGCCCTTCCCGTTGGTGGCCGCAGCTGCGAATCATGGCACGTGGTCTCGGGCAAGGAGCTTAGGCAAAACGGTGGCCTACGGATCCCAAGTTAGCTGGCTCGAATCCCAGCCAAGGTGCCCACGATGTGTCGGACGCTCTTTGCCGAGTGACTGAGATTTCGGTTGCATGTCGAAAGATCTTGAATGGTCGAAGTTAATTCTATGTCCTACGCTGGGGTGTGTCGTATGGCCTTTGTCACGTAAGGTCCCCCTTGAGCAAAAGTGAGAATCTTGAAAGTGTTGGCATCTTTTTCGTGGTAATGGCCGCAAGCTTCATCGAAAGGAACCTTCGATCCCTCCGAGCTGTTGTTTTTGCTAGTTTTTTTAGCATAATTGCAGCATTCTTTAGAAGGGGCATACTTCTGAATGTTGAGTTTCCTGATTACGACGTGCCTGCTCCCACTGACAGGTTTTGAAATTGACCACTATTGTCCCGTAGTTTGGCGACTGAAATTTCCCATGGATTCTTTTTCCGTTCTTGGAGATAACGATTGATCTCCTAAATTGACTATATTTCGTTATCATTGGCTGTCACAACTGCAATAAAAGAATGAGCATTTGCATGTTGTGTCTACCCATCCAAGACTTTACTGGTGTTTCAGAACTGGGCACCATCTAAATGTTTGTGCAACTGGTTAGTCTGCTTTTTGTTGCCAAATGTGGCATTGTCATTTAAGATCACTAGTCTTAGTTCCGAGCACACTCGAGCTATTAGCCTAAAGTAACCTCCTGTCCTTTCTTCATGCCCCTTGTTAGTTTGCTGGGTTAATTTCCCAGATTTCAACCTGATCTTTTATTTGAATGCAATAGCACTCTATATCCCCCCCCCTCCCCTCCATGATTTTGTGGACCTTTCTGGTCTCCTAGCGCAGTAGGCATGCACAGTTGACCATTTTAGCTCACTGTGCTTACACCCCAATGCGCCGCGTGTATGCAGAGCAGCAGTACGCACTGCTTCACATTCGCACCCTCTTCGAAGAACTTGACGACCTTGACATCGTCCCACAGGTTGTTCTAGGTGTCGTCTTTGACGTCGTCCTAGAGATCACCCTAGACATTCTTAACATTGTCCTCAACGTTGTCCTAGACGCCGTTTTTGACGTCGTCCATGGCTTCGTAACAAAAGGATGCGAACATGACGAATGCTATCGCAATTCATAGACAACCAACAATTGTGGTTTTTAGTTCTGCTCATGCCACACATTTATATTTGGAACAAAATTTACAAAATATGATTGTGTCACATTTGACAGCAGTGTGGTAATGTTTGGGCTAGATGCTGTGAGCCTTAGCAAATTTTGGCGGAATCTCAGTTTAGTTAGGGACTGTTGTGGGATTGCTAGCTACCAATAGAGGTACTGAGGAGTAACCAAAGGGTTATCTCAACGGTGGCCACTATCTCAATGGAGACGTCAAACCTGGTAGTGTGGTCCTCACATCTACACGACAATATAGACAACGTTTAGGGCTATATTATCGCAGGTCGGTTCGATAGATGCCTCTGTTGGTGATAATAATCGATTGCCTGGTCTGGCTCTCTCAAATATAGAGGAAGAGAAGACACAGATACCAGAGTAGGAGCGGAGTCCAAGAGCATTTATTAAAACTCTTTTATACGAACTAGTATGTCCCCATTTAAAATTCCTCCCAGCCGGCATGGTAAGAAAAGGTCCTTACCTGCCAGGCACGGTGTTCCGGACCGCCAAGATCAGGGAAGCATCGGAGAAGTCGCCGATACACGTCCTATCTCTTTTGCTGTCACAAAACAAGTCCCTCTCCCAAAAGCATGAAAACAGAGGCAAAACCTCCTCACCTGTCTATCAGCAGCAATCCGCATCCCAGCGGGGGAAGGGAAAGAGGTCCCCCCCGGGAGCGAGTGAGAGGAGGGCCCTCCTAGACAGGGGGCCCTCCGCTTCACAAACAGATCAGAGCTCAAGGCGAACGAGGTCGAGCGTTTAGACCCATGCCGTTATCGCAGCCATCGGGGAAGGGAGGCCACAGGAATCCCCACACAGTCAACTGGCACCCTATGCAGCAGTGGCATATAGTGATTGTTTTTCAGTAATTAGTTTTCTTAATTAACTACTGGGCACCACTGTAATGCGCAATTAAAGTCATATACCATGTGGCTTATATTGTAATAGATAAGCACCCAGTTTGAATGACATTTGCATGTTCCAGATATATTTTGTCTACTTTTCAGAAGTAAGCTTCGAGTTCTCAATTAGATTTTGTGCCCTTAGTGTGTTTTGTTTGTCAGTTTGCCTCTAAAGGTGCCCAAAGACTGCTAAGGCCACTATTATGTAACATGTTTGAAATCTGAGGCTATGCCGTATAGGTGTTCGAGCAGGTGTGCAGATATAAAAAAGGCCGTGACTGGCAAAAAAATATAAAAAATGGAGCTCGTAAATGTATGGGTGGTATTCATCCTGATGAATGGTACTTGGCAGAGGTATAAAAACGTATGCAAACTTTTTTGCTGCTTTATCTTGCTTCTTATTTTTCTGTATTTTTGTTTCTGGTGTCTGACCCTTTTGGTTTTCTTCCTATGTCCCTCTAGTGTTAATGGTTCCTCGCCTCCATTGGTTGACTGCATTTGCAGTATAAGCTTCTATGGTTTCCATGTGCAAATTTAAAAAGGATGTGGTGAAAACAAGATTATATATTGCTCAAGATATTTTCACATTTGTACGCAAACAACGTAGAAATGTGCATTCACATGTCAAAATTCTGTCTAGTTGGGCGTTGCATTTGTGTACCTCTCCATAGCACCTAATTTGTAGGCATTCAAATTCTTGTTAGGGCATCACCAAAAGGGTCTGACCCTGCCTATCTTGCTTTATTTTCGAGTACCTTCTCAAACCTCGAGTTCTGTTTTGTTTTTGTTTTTTTTCTTTGTTCTTTCCTTTGGTTCCCGCCTCTAGCCTGCCCTATTCGATCGATCCGAGGCAAGTAGCACCTTCCTTCCTCGCATTATTTTTTAATTAATTAACGAGGGGTTTGTCGTTTGCAAGTTTTGAAGCTGCTTTAGTTTGGCCTGCTTTTTTTTTTTTTATCTTTTTTGTGATTATTGGAATTGGTGCATGCATCTTTGTTTATTTTTTAGCCTTGTTTTTGTGTTTCTAATCTCTAATAGAACTCCTGCACCCTTTCGTTCTCTTTTCTTTTGGGGGCCCACCCTCCCTAACAGGAATATGTTACCCGGAACCACGTCTATGTCTTCCAGGTATTTTGCCCTTTTAACGTAGAACCTAATGCGTCTTTGTGTGTATCGACTCCTGTCCCGCTCCTGCCTTGCAAGTTAGAGATTTCTTGCTGAAACTAGCGGTGTTGTCCTGCCTGTAAGCTTTTGACGGTTTTAATTGCCGCTCGCTGTTTGCGTCAGCCGAGCCATCTTGCTAAACTCCGAGAGTTCTGGAAGTTAGAGATTTCTTGCTGAAACTAGCGTTGTTGTCCTGCCTGTAAGCTTTTGACGGTTTTAATTGCCGCTCGCCGTTTGCGTCAGCCGAGCCGTCTTGCTAAACTCCGAGAGTTCTGGATGTTAGCACTAGCCAATATCCTTCTTTAAAACTCGAGATTTCCGCGTGTTAGTGTTGACGCATCTTTTCTGGGCATCTGTTGCAAGAAAAGTGGGTCCCTGTATGACCGACGAGTAAACTATACTTTTTTGCGTTATGGAGTACTAATTATGCTTTGATTGAACTTGGACCACAGTTGTATATAGTTGAAGGCTTTCGTCACAGAACCTAGCTTACTGTGGTACTTGAATGGATGCAGTCAAACTGGGAGTAGTGTTTAGAGCAGGATAACAGTCGGTTTGAATGTTACGTTCCCGCTCGCTTGGTTCCGGTTTTGGGCGCTAGTGGTGTCCCGCGATAGCTCTAACTCTGCCAGAACTTTTGAGGGAGGGGGCAGAAGTGTCGTTTACAACCTGGGAGACTGCTGATTGGAATTACACGCTCTTCCAGACATAATAGGGAGCCGCACGACTTGAAGAAGCAAGTCTATCCTCCCACCAAGTATATATGCTGCTGCTGTTTTCCATACTAACATTCCTGCTGCCTTACTAACACCCTTGACCGCTGGCATGGCTGTTTGGCACATCGCACTGTCCTTTTGCATTGGGTGCTTGGTTTTGCTTTGTCGTTTTGTTGTCTTTTTTGTATTATTTGTATTGCTCTATCTTTTGTGTTTTATTTTGACGGAAGGCTACTTTTCAACATGAAATGCATGAGATTTTTGGGAAAAACTTTTAATAAGGGAGGACCATTAAGCAATTGTCGAAAATGGACCACATCATAAATTGGTGGCCTGTCCCGCGGTTGCCGGTGCAGCAGACATGTTGTTTCAAGCGTCCCTCCCCTCCCCGACACCCGACACTTAATGTTGCTTGAACATGGGTGATGCTGTCATGCTTCTTAGCCCCGATCTTTGTCGGAGACCTGGGTGTCGCAACACTTCTAATACCCAACCTGCTCGAAAGTTTTTAGGGGAAATGTTTGTTCACATGCAGTGCTTGTGGCCTAACTTGCGGTTAGCTGTCATAGGTAAACATGCTACTGTGGCATGGGTAAGCTAGAATTGCACCGAACACAATTTGAAGATCCGATTCTTGTCTTCGTCATTGTCATTCAAGAGCTATGTTTGAAGACATGTCCCAAGACTCTCAGTAGCGGTATCAGGTACCGACACTGCGTAAAACCAAAGGAGCCGGTGGGGCCGTTAAAGCACCCTGCAGACTCCAGTATTAACTGGTGTCTGGCAATTTTGCATGGGGTTTGCCACCAAGTTAAGTATGGGGATCAGCATGCAAAAGCAATATACATTAGTTTAATTTCGAAGCCATGCAGAGACAGCTTGGGGTCCTAAAGATGGCGTCTCTCCTGCGTCAGATTGCAATTCCCATGGGGCACTGCAAAGCCGTTGTGAAAACGCGTATTCTTACCGCCGAGACCCTCGTTGCCCATCATCGAGGGCGCTGCCATTGGAAACACGACAAGGCCCAGACAGGCCGTTATCTTTGCGGGCTCTAGCCCTAGCTTGGAGCCACTTTCCGTGGCATTTCCGTGGAGACAAGGAGAGCACGCGCAAACTTATTTGGTGCTCAAAGTGGGCGAGGCTGCGCACTCTCATATCTCTGACTGCATTGTCGCGTAGTGTTGTCCTCGAATGTGGACAATCTAGAAGTCCTTTACGGATGGTGCCCAAACCACTGTGAAGTCTTCCCATCATAAAATACCGAGCGTGCACCCATGTCACAGTAATCGCCCACCCGCCACTTTTAAAATATTTAGTGACTTAGCAAAGGACGTATCGAGCTTCCATCCCAGACTTCCGAGCCCACCTAGCCAACCGAGCTGCTGCTCCTCTTCAACTGCTCTTCAAGAACCTTGGCGAAAAGCAGTGAAGCCCACCCTAGTAGTGTCCCTTCATCATTTTTGCTCTTGGACCTAATGAGAAGCTATACCCCAGTTTTCCGGGGTTCTGTCGCATTTTTGGGTGGACGCCCGCCTTCGGTACTTTATGGCGAGAAAAGGCGGACCCTCGAGACGACTTGGTCCGTGGCTTCCATTTTGTGCCTCTGCGTATGCTCGAGTCTTGAAAGGGTGTTGGCCTTTCTCGAGTTTGTGACGATCTTGTTGCGGGGTGCCGGCTCATTTTGCTTGTTTCTTTGGGTCCCGGGGTTACAGGCAAGATTCCCTAAACCCTCCGATCAACGAGGCAGAGTTTGAGGAGATCATGTCGCGGAACCGCACCGTGTCGAGCAGCGCCATCGCTCGGGCAGTGGCAGACGCCAGCGCAGGTGAGCGAGGTGCCTCGGCACGCTGCCACGGCACGCTGCCACGGTTGGTCCGAAATACCGGTTGCCAAGCTGGTTTTGTTTTGTTTTACGGAAACTTGGAAACGGCTAGCAGAATGGTAACTCAGCCTGCACCTGCCTCAGGTGTGCGGGGAGGCGCGTAAAGAGTGCAGTCTTGTACGTGGCGATCGTCTCGAGCGAGATGCGTATCTTGAGCACCTAGAACAAGCTAATGTTTGAGGAATCCAAAGTGCAGTGCTCAAACAAAGTGAATTGACTAGGAAGTTGAGACTTAAAAATGACTGCTTGCTTCATGTGACTCTCCACTCACCTGCCTATAACTTGGTTGGGAATATCACTTTATTTCTTCTTGTTTTTTAAGCATCATTCCCGTTTTCCTATGTGTTACCATAATTTCCCAAGAGGTGTTCCACCCCTGAAAAATAACCCACCCCTATTTTTGGCACGATTTGCTATTTCTTTAGAAACACCGAAAGATAGCCCACATTAGTAATAGCAGGGCCCAGACCAGTGGCAACCTCAGCAGAAATGGTGTTCTTAGTCTCGGCGGGAGATATGCTGACATCGCTGACTGGAAAGGACAGCCGTCTTTAGTGCATGGCCCCTCTCTGCGATTACAGGTTTCGCAGGTCACAAAATCTAAAGCTGGCATTTTTTTAAACTTACTTTGATAACAGACCGAAGGTTGCCACACTCCTTATTTTTCCCCAATTCGCTTAGCGCTGACTTTCTGACTTTGCAGTACATCAACTTTGTATCAGCTGTTTGCTGCGTGTAATGCGGCCTTTTTCCTGTTTACACACTCGATGCAGTGCTAACTTGGTGCTGAGTCAGTGCTGTCAGCTGTACCGATGCTGTGCTGCATGTGTGAACCAGCAAGAAAAGAAATCGTACATTAATGCCGCAAAGGACAGACTGCTTTGTAGAAGCGATCTCCATCGGTAGACTGACCGGTGTCTTGCGTTCCTCCCGCTCCCTCAGGCGAGTTTGCCAGTGCCATCGAGACGCTGGTGACGGCCATCTCACTCATCAAGCAGTCCAAAGTTGCTAACGACGACCGCTGCAAGATTCTGATCAGTTCACTGCAGGACACCTTGCACGGGATTGAGTCAAAATCCTACAGTTCGAGGTGAGTGGCATCTTTACTGTAGGACGTCTTTTCTGTTCTTTGGAATGATCTTGTTTTTGTTTCTCTTGTGTTTCTGTCAACAGCGGTCGCAGTTGTTACTTGTAAGTTGTCGCTGGGTGGGCTGCCCTAGCTCTTGGTTTGTTTGCTTCGCTGTGGAAACATGGCATGCAATTTGGCATGTCTAGTGCAATCTCTCGCATCTCCCGTTTTCCATTTGTGCCCTAAAAAAAGGGGGGGGGGGGGGGGGGGCAAAGAGAGAAAGAGTGAAGGGCCACTCTGTCTTTTAATGTCTGTATTTTGAAAAACTTTAAATTTAGGTTGCATCAGTGTCTGAAGAAACATAGCTTGAAACTCTACGATAAATGCCTCGAAGTTGGAAATTTCTAGGTGTTTGAGAAAGTATTGGCACGAAACACTTTAGACATTCTTGTCTTCCAGTGTTTCCCATTGATATGTAAATTTTGCAAAGCCAATACCAATGTGTCCCCGAACGCCTAACGAAACTTTGCTAGCAACTTTTCGCATGAGGTTTTGTGCGTTCTCACAAAAGTGAGCTGCTCAATGTTTAGACAGCATGAACTGGTCAGCTTTCGATGTAAAGCAGCTTGTCTCTCGCTGCAGATTAGGAATTTGCCCAAAGCAGTACAGCTTCCAACCTGGAGTCACTAATGTGCATCGTGCGCTGGTAATTACACGAGAGCAAGCTGGTACGATAGTCATCCAGATCACGTTTTTGGGGGTTACACTGGAAAGCATTTCCCAAGCTGGCTTCTTAGCCAGCGCACTGTCTTAGCTACGACCAAAGTTACTAAAATACTGAGTTGGGAATCTCGCCCTTGCAACCTGGACCGCTCACGTCCTCCGAGCCCAAACTAAATACGATAGCAGCGCCGCCCTTCAGTGACGAGTGAACACATGAAAGTTGATTTATATAGCTGCTGCGAGATAGCGCCACCGGCCCTTACACAACTCAATCTGAACTAGAGTCAGAGTACCAAAACTACAAGGCTCGATGGCGCCAAGATGGCAGCTCAATTTTTTTGTTACTGTGGTCATTTTGAGCGTTTAGAAAGAGTGTCTTTTTGCGTAAAAACAAACGGAAGACAGTTTTTTTTCTAAAAACGTTTATTGGAGATTAGTATGAAAAAAACTGGCGTGTGATGTTTTCTAAAATCTTTACAAGGTTTTGTGGCACATATTAATATTGTTTTTGTAAAACCATGTCTCACCGATGCTTCCAGGTAGCGCGTCCCGACCTGGACGCGTCCTAACATTGGTGGTAATTCGTGGCGTGTCCGCTTGGGAGGTGGGGGTCGGCATCCCTGAAACCCCTTCCACCGTACAAGTTTTGGCACCAAAATGACCAATTAAAGTCAAAATAAAAACAGCCACAGCGGATGCTATCGAATGCGATACTCCCGAACCAATACAAGCAGCCATGCAGTTTCCCAAGTGGCTGCTGCAGGAGAAATGGCAGCATTGCAATCGCATTTAGTTCGGTTCTTGAGCACGGTTTGGTGCTACTTTTTCAGAGCAGGCTCTATGGCAGTTTCCCAACTGAGTTGTTCTAGTAACATTGGCTACGACTGGCTAGATATTGAACTTTTTAACTACTGAAGTGATCAAAATAAAATTTGCAAGGGAGATTTCACTTCAGATGCAGGTGTACTGTGCAAACTTTCAGCTCTCTAGGACAACTTTACATACCTGCATAAGAAGATAAGTCACTCTTCATTAAGAAATCTATGATATGCAAATGAAGCTATTACGCATCATTTTAACTGCTTGAATATAAAGTGGGGGATGTGGGACTTCGGGCTATCTAGTTTCTATAACTCCAATGTAAATATTTCAGGAAGAGTGATTACCTCAATATATGAGATGCATATCTGTCCTATGTCAATTTTTTAAAACATGTTTTTTTCTCAATGAGGACTTTAACTTAGAACAAAATAAAGTAGATAGCCCAATTCCCCAGTAAATTTCAGTTAAGAAACATCTTGATTGTGGTATCAAAATACTTTTACCTTCGAACAAAAGATTCCTTCGTATGAAATTTGCATCAAAAAGCGGAACAGAGAAAAATACATTCAAACATTGAAGTCCTTTACTTTGTTAGTGCCTCACAATGTGTTGAAAATATTTTATATCAACAGAACTATTTGGTGCAGGGTTATGAAATTTAGTGTAAGGGTGTATAATTGGTTTCTAAAACCGAAAACTTCAAAATTGAAAAATGAATTTTTGTCAAAAATTTTAGAACTTGGGCCCATGTCCCCCCTTAAGCCCGTGGCATGGGACAGCATCAAAAGGGCACCATCATGGTGTTTGTTTAATATGCGTGTTCTGTCATCGCTGAACCAATCGTAGACAAAAAAGGTCCAGCGACTCGCGCTTTCGACGCTGCTTGATCGGTCCCATTAGCTGGCTGCATCCGGTCTTGGGCCAAAACGAGCTACAGCAGGCCAGCCTCGGTGCATTCCGAATGACTGACTACACTGTGCACGTGTGGCTGCTCCGCGCAGGAGCAAGGATCGACCTCGCTCGAGGGAGCGGGACAGGTCCCGAGAACGGTCGTCGCGCCGAGAGAAGTCCAGCCGCCGGGACCGGTCGCGCAGCAGAGAGCGCGACTACCGGGACCGCAGCCGAGAGAGGGACCGCTACCACGAGGACCGCTACCGGGACAAGGAGAGGGAGCACCGCAGCCGCCACTGAGCGCGGGCGGCGGCAAGAGCATTCGAGACTCGTGGCTGGAACGTGAGTGATCCCACTTTTGAGTCTTTCTGGAGGAGAGTGCTATAGATTCCTTTCAAAAGTCCAATGAGCACCACTGGTGGCCGCCATTGCTCGGGCACATAGCGTGCGACTGGATTCAAGTCCTCGTCGAACACCGACGAGGCCCTCGTGTTCTAACGCACGCTTGTAGTGCACGCCTAAACGACGGTGGGTAATTGGGGCTGCAGCCGCTAGAGAGTGCGCACTTTTGAAAAGGGTCTAGAAAAACTAGGCTCGGAGTGTCGGCTCCACATTCGACGACTGTGTTGGGGGGGCCGCCATTTTGGCGCTCGGTGCAGAGCGGGCACAATTACCAGTCGTACCGACGACGGACTGCTCGTGGGAGCTTGCTCATTTCTTCGACGCCGCACGCAAGTCAAACTCCTGATTCAAGGAGTCTGCTGCGCACCGGGGATACCCAACACCATTCAAGTGCTTGGTCAATGCCTCGTCCTAACTTAAATACAGTCGTCGACCAATTTTTCGGACGCCAATAATTCGGAGGTTTCGGCGAAACGTCACTCACCCCATAAGAGTTGATGTATAACATTGACCGAAATTTCGGACGCCATAAAGCTTATTGCTAGATTTTTCTGACATAATTTGCGTGATTTCCTCAGTTTACAGACACAAAACAGCCGCTGCGATGGCGCCGCAAGCTTAGTCGCCGCCATTTTGGTTGTTTTGATTTTGCCCAGTAGCCTCGACAGCACGTCCTATGCAATAAACAAGCTGGGTTGAGGCTATAGTCAGGTTTTCCTGCTCTGCTATAGCCAACATGGCCGCCGTCTGCCCAATCTTATATGGTTCTTCCAGTTCTCGTGGTCCGTGTTTTTCGAGTGCGACCGCGAGAAGAGCGGCCGTTTGCCGGTCTTGTGTTCTTTGAGCGCAAAGCTTTTTTGCCCCTAGGCTTCGTATTGAAGCGAGCTTGGTGGACTAAACATTGTCTCTGGGTAAGTTTGAATTACGAGCTTTCACCGTAGTGCCAAATGGCGCCAACTTCAACTTCACTGTTAGTGTCAACGAATGCGCCGGAAAAGCGCAACACCGTGATCAAACAGATCAACGAACAAGTGAAAAATTAACAATATAAAGTGGAAGTTGCACGAGAACCTAACATGGACATCCAACAAGTGGGAAGTGGCCAATACGCAGTGGAATATGCACGGAAATTTGATATTTTGGCTAAATTAAATTTTTCGGACCGCTTAATTATTTGGACAATTTCGGGGTCCCCTCTGAGTCTTAAAAATCGGTCGGCAACTGTATTGGCAGTCTAATACCCCGCTAAATTTAGCAGGGAAACTGAATTAGTGTTGAGCTCGCGTGGTGTCAGTTTTTCAGCTAAATTTAGCAGGGAAACTGGGAGGAGGGGCAGATGGAGGAGGACGAGGGGGGGGTATGGAGGAGGAGCATACGCTGCCCTTTGTACCCTCCCCTCCTCCTCAAGAGCTGCGCTTCAGCTCAGGACACACCTGAATGAAGTCTATACACTTTCCAAACATCAAATGATATTACATTTCTTCGTACATCGTTTCCTGCAGAAAAGTGAAATTGAGAAACATGCATCTGAAGTTTCAAGTTCCGGTTTTTCGGTTTTCTACGTACGAGTCCCAAGCACACAAAATTCACCTGGAGCATAGGCTAACAGTGCTCCAGGTGAATTTTGCCTACCTAGGGCTTATAGACAAGAAAGAAACCTAAAGTTGAAACTTCAAATAAATTTTTCTCAGTTTCACTTTTTGGCAGGAAATGTGGTATGAGGAAGTGTATCATTTGACATTTTGAAAGTGTGAAAATTTCATTCGGTGGTCTTCTGGAGTGAAATTTCCCGAGGAACAAGTTAAGGTACTCATAATCTGAAAATAATATTTTAAAACAGATAAATTTGTTAAAATTTTTTGTTCTTTTTGGGTGTTATTGCTTTTCTTTAGAATAGCATTTTCTACAATTAATTTTTACCTTAACTGGCACTATGGGTATTTTACTTCAAATTAAACCAAACATTTTGTGGATTGCAATTATTTTTTAAATACATTTCCTACTGAAGTAACTTTTTTCTGGAGCTTTTTAAGCGTAATATGTTGAATTGGCCTACAAGGCTGAAACTGTAGATGTCATCAATTCTCATGGGGTTCAATTCACCCTGAAAGTTTGAATCAGCTTGAGGGATTGGTTCAAAAGTTGACCTTCCCAGGCCATTCCCCCCTTAGTGCCTTCACAATGGGGATAGTTTCTTTCTGCCATCGCAGCATAGTGGGGTCACTGCGACCTTACCCCTCCTACAATGCTTTAACTCCTAGCAAGACACCTTAATCTCATTGTGTTGGCCTCTTGGCTCCAGAGCTGAATTGGAGGAATCTCTGAACTAGTTAGAGCTACAAGCCTTGAGGCCCACTGACTGCAGGGACTTTGTAAAATACCAGGGGAGCACTCACCCCACTTTCATCGAAAATTGGGTTGATCTGGACATGGGCACTTGGTCGGTCAAATCAGGCACTTAACCTATAGTTTGGGAAATGTTAGTGGTGGGCGCTTCCACCGTATTTTACAATTGGCAGAACGCTTCGTCCTCTCAAAAAACTAATTTTCATGAGCAAGCGTCTACTTATCTTAAGCCAAAGGAATTTCAGTGGGCGCACCACGGATGTTTCATAGGAGTACATTGGCACACAGTGTCAACCATGGTGGTCGGAACGGTTGTTAAGGGTGGTTCGGCAGTGCACTGAAGGGTGGCCCCCACACAATAGAGAAACTAATTTTTTTCGAAATCAAAAGCAAACGCCGTAAGGGACGCCACTGTCTAGCTCGGCCTTAGCTAAACGAGCACGAAGCAGTCCATATAAAAATTTGCCCCCTGCTAACTTGAAAAACTGTTAGCATGCCAAAAACATTTTTTTTTTTTTTTTTTTTAGATAGATTTTGTATTATAAAAACGAGTTTCTGAAACCATTCTTTGGAGGGTAATTGAATATACACTTATTTGTACGAAACTCACTTTTCTTCTTGCAGGTCAGCAGTGGAAGGAGCATGACGGCTGCACTATTTTGATATCCTTCTCAAGCCGTGTACCAATCAGTGTGTGTTTGGGAACCGAGGCTGGAAATGTACCCATCGTGTCATTAAAACAAAAATGTCTGTGTTCAAGCTGAGATTTAGTTGGACTTCATACTCCCAAGGAGTTGGACTTCATACTCCCAAGGCTGCGTAACATAGCGGCAATCTAGTTCCTTTGCGTCAGTGACTGACCAGTTCTTCTTGTCAAGTCGGCCTTGCATAAGAAGACGGACAAATGTTACCCAGCGTGTCTGTGTCTGAGAATTGGACGCAATAGCTTTATTCACAGTATAATACACGAAACTCCACCGGCATCATTCATTCAAGCTTCGGCCGCTTGCTGAAAGCAGAAATGGAACAGAACAGCATTAGTCGAAATATACGATGGTCGAGCAAGAAAACGCGGGGAACCAGGCTGTACCTGGGCTTTTTGCTTGACAAAGACATGGATGTCGACGCCTTGTTGTAGTTGACTGCCACAAACCACGTTCCAACGATTCCCTGGCGGATGACGGTGCTTGCCCAAATGTGGCCTGCTTCATTCACGATGCCGAAGTTGATCTGGAGGAAGTATCTCTTGTTACAGACCAGAGAGACCTAGAAAATAGAAATGCAGTTGTGTGGTTCGTAAGACTATCTACATAAGGTAGGTCTCTGGAGAGCCGATCCATCTGTACCCGTCACCTCAAGAAACATAGAAATGAGGCTCCTCGTGGAGTGTTGCTAACATTTGCGAACTAAGATGCTATATGTGCACACTTAGGTGCACTAAACTACTTTCTATGAGTCTATGGTCACAATTCAATATGTGGGCTCTAAGTATCCTAACAAACCAAGCATTATATTCATGAATGGCTGATATATTAAAAAGCTCGGGGCACACCCAAGCGCTTCTTACGAGTTGTGAATGCAGAAGCATGCAAGCCGCTTGTCCGCTCAGTTTTTCGTCTGCCGCACACTTTTCGGCACCAGTCAGCGAGCGTGCTCCCTTGGTGACCTTGGACGCTCCGTGTTAACGGAGTGCTGATGGACACTCGGCGCCATGGGGTGAGCGGTCGTGGAGACTGACGAGCGCAGCGGCCAATCGACGTGTGCCAGCCAATGGGACTGAGGGCGAAATCTGTCGGCTTTACTTAGCTCCTATTGGGATCGCTGACACTAGGTGCCGTTTTCGCGCTTCAGACTGATGATGTCAGCTTGCTCCATGGGACCGTTAATGCTTTCGCATTCAAATATGTATACAAGACTAATTACCTCGGAACTGTCAGCAACACCAGAGGGCTCCGTCGGACGAGAAGGGCTTTTCTGCTCCTGGTCCGACGGTGCCTTGTGTTTGCAATAGTTCAGAGGTAAGCTGTAATACCAGTTTAATTGGAGAAATCGGCCACGCATTAATGTTAGGTTTGGTTTCTTAGGATGCTTAGAGCCCATAGAATATGTTGGGGCCCCTTAAATAGACTATTGCAGAAAATGTTTAAGTGCACCTTTAAAGGTTACTTATTCTATTAAAATGGAAAGTTTCAAATGCAGATATGACAACCAGTTCTCGTGCAAAGCCCTTCGTTCAGCATATGAATTACAGTAAAACCTCGTTATAACGAAGTTGAAGGAGCGATCGTAATTATTTCGTTATAACCATTGTCCATTTCTTTCCACTCTTAGCAAGCAAGGGGAATTATGATTGCTTTGTTATATCCATTAGTTCGTTATATCCCATTTTGTTACAACAAGGTTTTACTGTGTAATTTTAGTTTTATAACTATAGAAAACTAATCTACATAACTATGGAAGTATCACGAAAAAATATTTTGCCGTTGTCTGCGCCTAGATCAGCTTTTGAAACCACTTCCGTAAGAATACTGCCAAATGGGCACCTCGAGTGTCTCGGAAATTACCTACATATTTCATGTGCTTCAAACTTCTAATGTTGGTGCAGCCTCCACAGATGTACTGTTTGTGATGGAACTCCAATGAATGACATTCTGATTCTTATGAGCGACCAGAAATGTTAGAATATATATCAAAACTTAAGTATCTACCGTAATATCCCGAGGATGCCCCACCCATATTCCCCCCCCCCCCCCAACATTTAAAGGTGGTTCATATGAAGTAATTGCAGGGTCTTGGCCAGTGTTAAACTCGACAGAAATGGTGTTACTTAGCCACGGCAGGAGATACGCGAACATTTCTGACTGGGAAGGACAATCGTCCGTGGTTCATTGCCCCGTCGTGCGACCACAAGTTTCGCAGATCACAAAATCTAAAAAGCATTTTTGATCGTCCGCTTTTTTTTTTTTTAATTTATTATTGCTCATTAAAAGTTAGTCTGCTGCTTACTTTCATCTGATTTTCTTTCGATTTTAGGTGGGAAATCTCGGGATATAACGGTAGGATTTGTCCAGTAATCCCTCCGAAGGGAAGCGTGCGGTTAAAACAGTATTGACCCACGGGCGTCCTGTTGAAGCCGTCGAAGGTGAAGAGCTTGAGGCGCGAGAACGAAACCAGCCTCTGGTTCCAGTGCGACCCGGGCAGGGGTGCATCGGGATGCATGTAGTTGCCGGCTGCGAGAATTCGGGCGAAATTAACGCGAGCTCCGGCACGCAAAACACTCACGAACCGATTTGACCGCACTCTTGAACGAAGCTGATCCAGACGGCGTACTGCAGGTCGTCGAGGAGGTTTGCAAACCTCACTGTCGGCACGGGTTGCATCAACCTGCAAGAAGCCAGACGTTTGCTCGAGTCACTCTACTTCGTGAAAAGGCGCATTGTCACGGCGCTCATTTTCGTCGTGGGGTCTGCCATGAGCGGCTAAACTGATCTCGCATGGGAAGAACGCGACAGCGTTCTTCCCATGGCCCTGTTCACATCGCCTTCTCATTCGCTTCTCGTATGCTCTTCCTGGCAGTGAGCACCAAGTGCAACAGACACGGTGACCTAGTCAGCAGCTTGTCTGGCTCGCAACCGAAGGGTTCGTGGGCTCGAATCCCGTTAAGGGCTGCAGTAAGTTACAGGGTAAGAACGTCGCGGCCAACGCGCGAGGGCGGTCTTGCCTTTCTGTTAGTCGTGGATAAGCTCAAGAATAAGCGATAATAATTGAAACTCAACGATACAATGCGAATTAAAATGGGTTACAATTCATCGTGACGACATGACGTGCGCGAGCTCTCCCAACACCACCTAGATGGAAAGCCGGAGCGCTTCCCTCTCTCCCTTCAAGGAGCGTCGGCATGAGTAGGCTGAACTGGTAGTGCGCTTCTCCGCAAGGCTCCCCTTGACAGTTGGCTTCTTTGCAATGCACGTTCTCTTTTACTTTTCCTTTCCCTCTACGCTTGACGGGGCGCGAAAAAAAAAAAAAAACGCCACGGCGTTGCGTTTTTTTTTTTTTTTCTTCCTTTTTCTCCTTCAACGGTCGTTTGTCGCGTTCCTTTCTTCGACGGCTTTTTTTACTTACTCCTGGGGGTTGGGTCACGTGACAATAAGGCTGGAGGAATCAACTAGAACAACTCTAGAAGCGAGTAGGTTTTTGGACGCCGAGGGTCAGAGGTTCAACTCTCGAGTGAGATCGAGCACATTTTGGAATGTGCTGTCGCGGCCTCGTGTGTGGACATGAAAGCTGCCTTTCGGTTGTCGGTGGTGTCATTCGGTACAGATGTTGTTTATCCGCGCTTTGACTACAGTGTACTGCACTTTGACGGAAAACTGGATGTGAAAGTGTCCATATTTGAGTTTCTGCAAGGATGACTACGGAAGCGTGGACTATACAGCGAATCGATGGGAAGATCTCGCTCCTTGACGGCATGGCAGGGTGAGAACTTTTTAATTTTTATCATCGTGGTTTCGTTTTTTTTTTTTTTTTACTTTTCGCTGAATGCATTCTTGGGAGTGATTTGGTTGTGGCCTGGAAGCAACATATTCAAATGATGGCGCTACTTGCAGGTGCAGAATTAAATAAAAATGACTTGATTTATGAGTTCAGGTTGGAATGTTTTCGCAAGCTACGCAAGTGATAGGTTATCGCGGTTGCAACCAGCACATCAATTAAAAAAAAAAAAACAACAGAAGTACATTGTGTCGTTTCCGCGTATCCTCATCAGAGCGCAAAAATGATCCGCTACAGCTAACTAGTAAGACCTATATTTCAGCGGGTCTCTGAGCTGTAGTTTGGAGTGCACGCAAGCCGGAATATGGTTCATTGATCAGTTTACTTATCCACTCACGATTTTGCTAGAGCCGCTTCAGGCTCCCCAAAGAATCCCACCACACACCAGGAAGCTCTATTAATTATTATTATTTTCTCTGTTTAGTTCTATGTGCTCGTGCAATAGGCATTGTTATTATTATTATTACTATTATAGCGCATTTGGCACATCAAATTCAAGAATAATTTTGATTTTTGTGATCCAAAATACCAGATCGAAACACTGCCAGTGTTTTCTGTCAAATACGGAACCACTTCAGCTTAAAGAAGAGCATTCTTTCTTCTTGTTGTTGTTGTTTTTTTTTAACCATTTTTGATTCCATTACCTTTCTTTAGATTAATATGATTTCCTCCTTTTTCGTTCTATTTCCTGCAGAAGCGGTCACACATCCCGGATACTGCTTTGACGAACTCTGGCTACTGTACGGCCTCCATGGGACAAGCTGAAAACTGACACCTTAGAAGAGTACTTCGGAATGTATAGGCAACTGGCTTGCTTCTAATATCACGTGTCTACAAGGCACATTTGCGAAGAGGAAAACAGAATACTGCTGTGGAGCACAATGTCAACAGTCACTACAGCTAGCAATGGAAACTAGAAAGGTCTTCCCAAGCGAGCGGATACTTGACGCCCTACCTGCAACGTGGTATACCTGCAATGTGGCCCTGGGCTGTAAAAAAAATAAGGCACAGCCTCCCGGCCTTGGGCTATGTGGCCAGCTGTGCAGTCTACACCACCTTGAAAAACCTAAGGGGCGAAAAATGCAAGGCCGCATCGACAGCACGAAACAAGTTGGCTACAGTTTGCTTGCACAGGAAGACAGAGCTGGTGTAAATGCTGTAGCGAAATGAATGTTTGCATTAATGCCAAGAATGCCAAACAGAAGAAATGAAAAGCTGAAACTCGATCAAAGACACTCGCTGCCAACCGTCACGGATGTCAAGAAGCGAACTCGGACCAAGGAAGAGTATTTCTGACGCCTGTGATGATGAACCCATCGTGAGTTCGAGCTGAAGCATGTGTTGGACTGCAGTGAAAACTTTCAACTGAGAAACCTTTGTTGCAAGATACACTAAGAGGTCAAGGCTAAACAAATTAGTTTCTGTCCGGCCAGCAACATGCTTGCGCTTCATCCTCATGCAAAGGCAACTGCTTTCTGAAGTCGATCGATCTGTGTGTGTGTGCGTGTGCAGATAATCGGTGTCCTTGTAGCAGTCTGTTGGGTATCTTGTGGTGCTACAACGTAAATGCCAACATGCTGCACAGATATTGTGTGTCTCGGTGTCACATAATCTACAGCATCTAAGATGCATGTGTATAAATGTTTTTGAAGACGGATATTTTCAGAACTTATGGATACCAGGAGGCTCGTTTCGCAGTGTTCAAAGGTGACCAATTTCTTCTTTATGACTCTTCTGCATTGTAAATGCAAGCAACTTTGAATATGAAGCTCCCGTGCCCACTTCTGTTTGTGTACAAAACTTGTTTTTAGCTGCCCTAACTGTGTCGTTTCACAGACTCGGTAGGACTGTCGAAGTACATCTGCATATGGGGCAACGCACGAGTATTGCGGCACTTTTTTTTTTGCAAATATAAAGTTTTCACATTATGACATTGCCAAGAAATAGGTCACAGGTGTTTTTTGATGATGTAACCAGATAGGTTGCTTGCTGCAAAACAAGTACTATATTTGAACAGGCAGAGTGCTTTGAATTGCTGAACCTATGCAGGTTGATCACAGGTCTAAGAAAAGTTTGCCAAAATATGTGGAATACATTTTTCAAAATATGTGCAATACATTTTTCAAACTATGCAATACATTTTTCAAGCCAGCACATCACAATTTTAGAATGTTATTACTTTTATACTTGTCTGGCAATTTGGGTCCCGTTGCTGTTGCATCAGATGTCCCTAAGGGTAGTGTACTCGGGCCTCTTTGTTTCTAATATATATCAATGACCTACCATTATCAATTAAATCGACATTTAGACTGTTTGCTAATGCGTGAGTTATTTACCGGAAAATTAATACACCTATATTAATCACAAGACGATTTAGATACAATATCATCATGGTGTTCCCTATGGCAGATGAACATTAACACATTAAAATGCAAAGAATTGTCCATAATTAAGTCCTCCACTAAAACACTAACCCAGTACTCGTTACTTTCCAAACCACTAGAAGACTCACTGTCGTACAAGTATTTGGGCGCTTATTTCACAGACTCATTATCATGGATTGAGCAAATAACAAATAGCGCATTAAAACACTTAATTTGTGAAAAAGCCATTTGTACGAGAAAATTCTTGTGTTCAATAAACACATGAATCATGCAAGATATATGATAACCATATAAGAACTATATAAGATATATAAGAAACTTCTTACAAATTTCTTATATTATTCTAATCTACTTCTTATAGGGCTCTTATATGTTCTTATACATCTTGTATGATTCATACGTGTTTATTGGACACAGAAGTTTCTCATACAAATGAGATTTTTAGTAGGGATCTAGCTCTTATTCAAGCCAAAACTACTCGCATACAAAACATTTATCCTCCCACCATTAGAATATGCGAGCATAATTTGGAATCCACACCTAAGTTACCTATAATCTAGAGGCTCGAATCTTCAGAACAAAGCAGACAGATTTGTATGTACTGATTATTCATTCGAAACTAGTGTCTCCGCTTTAAAAGCTAGCATAAATCTTCCACATAAATTTGTGTAACTGAACTTTGATTTGTAAAACTGCATCATAACAATAACATGCTAATAAGCGGTTTTGTGTGTGTGTGTGTGTGACATTTTCTTTTTGTTGGTGTCTCTTTTATGTTCAGTTACTATTTTGTCTTTTATTTTTTTTAATTCCCCCTGATGTAATGCGTCTTTGGAGGCCTTTGAGGTGAATGAAATTAAATGAAATGAATGCCTCTGCATCATTTATCCAATTGTTACTTCAGTTCGTTTTATCTGGTCCTACAACTTCGATTATTGTCATTTCATAGGGATTCTTTTTTATTACACAAGTCCCATGTCGTTCAGAGATAATTACACCACGCAGTTTATCGCTTAAAAAATAACACATCTGTCTCAAGATATCACTTTCTTGTATTTCACTACAATAATTGTAGGTTATAAGAATTTTCCTGCGTTCTAAAATTGGTTCTTTAAATCACTCGGCGTTCACAGTTCTCACGTTAGCTCATAAAAAATAAATAGAGCGGAAACCCGCGTTTCTACGACGTAAAAGCTACGCGCGAAGCCTTCAGCTCAGCTCTATAGCGCGGCGCTCGTCAGCCTGCTGCCGTGACGTCACCGGAGGCGTGTGCTGGCCTTCTCCTCTAGGTGGTGTTGGCTCTCCCCGCGATGCTCCTCTCCCTCCACCGGTGGCGCTAGGTGTCCGTCGTGGAGCTCTCTCCGCTAACACTGTACATAATTGCCTTATCTTTCTACTTTGACTTAGCATTGTGGAAGCCACGAGAGGGAGATTAGAGTTTTTCCCCCTCCAACTGAAAACAAATACGACTTTCGGGGATTACGTTCCCCCTCGGATGTATACAAAGGCTGCTTTCAGGGGCTCGGTTCTTCTGCGTGCGTTGTGCGTGTGTCGACACGCACAAGCGGCGTGTCGACACAAAACTCCAGACAGCTACCGCCATCTATGAGCACTCGAGCCTATGGTGCCTTCATGTGCGCTTCGCATAGTGTGATGCCAACTGTCTGTTTCCCTTTCCCACACCCTCTTCCACCGCCATTTTGTTTCTCTCATTGTTTCCCCGTGCGCCGGAAAGTGGCCTTTGTGTCCATCGGTCCTCCCATCCGAAGGAGAAAATGCTAATCCTCCCTCCGTGGGTTCCACAACGCTGCTCCGAACTTGTGAGATAAGGTGCTTGTTTCCGGGAGGGTTATGGCCGAGAACCAAAATGGCTGCTGGTTTGTCGGCGAGTGGCATTACAAAGGGTGGCATTACTCTAGCAAAGCTCACATGAAGGCTCCCTACCCAACTCGAGCCAGTTCACCGTCACCCTCGCGTACGACGAGGAGAGTCGCCCATTGTGTTCCGTGCCGTCTTTCCCCCAACCCTTTTTCCCCGGCGTCCGCGTTCATCAGTTGCCCTTTGGACTCACGATGGGTCGGCCGCGTGCAGTTTGCTTGGAGGAAGAAGAACGGGAGCGGAAGGAGGCGACCACGTGCGCATCACCGTGAATGCTGCGCAAACGCCGCGAAGCCGCTATCGCTACGGCCACGCGCTCCGTTGTTCGGATTTCATTCGAAAAGAAACCTTCCTTCATAAAATAATTTCTCTTAGCTGTGACTTCGCTTATTCATTTAATGATAATCATTCTTGCAGGAATATCTAAAGTCCTGTATTTTTACAGTCATCTGACTCTTTTTAACCCGTTTATTCACGCAAAATGTTTGGGGTGTGGGAAAAACGGAAGCTTTGTTTTCTATGGTAGAGCGTTTGTTTAAGGAAAAACGACGCTTTTTAGTGTAATAAAATTTTTTTTTTACCGATAATACAAGTATCTTTAGACTTTATTTACCAAAAACTTCGGTTCTTGACGAATAACGTTAACCCTGTTGTTTTAACCGATAAGCTTGTCCGTATCCAACAGAACCGCTTCCTTATTTTGACCTAAAATTTTCGGATGTTTTTTGCTATATTACAAACATTCTTTTACGGTGTAGATCCGGCCCACCCGTTCGCGCGGCGACAGTCTGCGGCAGCTCATTACAAAAATACCACCTGGCCCACACGTTTACGCCTTATGACCTCATTACGGTGGCTCCGCCTCCGTCCCTCACCGCACCGCACCATACCACAAAGGGCAAAGTTGCTCGCCATTGACAGCCGTTAGAAAAAGCCGCGCAGTTGGCCTTTTCCGGGGTTACTTCTGAGGTGGGAGGAGCTTCCACTTCGTTCTTGACCTGTCGCTGACTATAGTTCACGAAATCGATGTCGCGGCAGCGGATACAAGTTGGGCGGCATATGATGGAAGCGCTCACTGGCGTGGTGCTCCGCGTATCAGAAATCACCACACCCGATCAGGAAGTCACATGACACGCTTTCCACACTGGACGACACGAAATGTTCGATGTGATAAACAACAAATAGGAAAAAAGGGAAAAAAAAACGAAACACTAAGAAAACTTGAGACTGGGGGGCAACAAAATAAAGTACAAATACACGCACCGTGTATTTGTACTTGAAAAAAACATACAGAGCGCAGCAGCGACACACCTCCGAAAAAGGTCAATATGAAGTCGTTAGGGCGGAACTTTGTACTACACGTAGATTTGCAGGTGTCTGACTCAGCCACGGTCTTACACCGCGGTCCATTGCTTCTGAGTGCGAGCTTCCACACCACTCTGCAACGTGCTTATGGGGGGTGTTCGCTGGACGCCATAGTTAAGGGCGCTGTTTAGAGCGCATGCTCAGAACGAGCTCGCATTTGTAGGTTGATAAGACCGGCAATCTTGATGATGTGGAATGCACATTGCAAAAGAACTGGAAGTTCAACATCGCAGCACGCGCTCAGCATTTACGCACAGTTCTTAGAGCTGAGGGCTCGTTCTGAGCATGCGCCGTGAATGGCGATGTATGGCCCTAGTCGCCCTTAGCTCCCAACCCCCGCTCCGTAGCCGCTTACCTCCCTTGCGGACTGATCTGCACCTCCATATTGGACAAGAACTCCCCCTTGTTGGCCAGCGTCACCTGCGGAACCATCACGGCGGACCTGGTGACGTGGGCCGTCCTGGTCTCATTCTCGGAATCGTCGGCCTCCGAAGACGAATAGTTGTTGCCCTCCGACCGGCCAGCCGACACCGCGTCGTCGACACCGTCCCCACTCCCTAGGGTCGTGGTGCTGACCAGGCTCGCCTGCTGGGGATCCCCCTCTCTACCGACGACATCCAGCGTCTCCGAATCTGAATCCTGCGAACTACTGTCGTCGCCGCTGCTGCTACTACTGCTGCTGCTGCTGCTGCTGCTTCCTCCCCCGCTGCTGCTACAGGACAGTCTGCACTGTCCCAGCAGGTCCGCGTAGCTCTTCAGCTTGATGTTCTGACGGTCGGTATTCGATGGGGTCGAACATCCGGACGTCATCGTCTGCGTGTTCTTGTCTCGCTCGTCGACGGCAGACAGCGGGCAGGGCGCGTGCCACGGAGCTTAATTTCGAACACCCACCACGGTCGCGGTCTTCGTTCTCTTCTGAGCAGAAAATGGCCTCGTCATGTTGGGTGTACTTCGCAGTTATCGCATTGATAACCTGCGCCGCCCTTCGCGCCCCCCCCCCCCCTTTTTTTTTTTTTTTTTTGTGAGCGAGTGATAGTGCACACGGGTACAGAAATGGGTCATTTCAGTAAAGCAGATTTTCCTTTCAGCTCTTCAAAAAAAAAAAAAAAAGATTTTTTTTTTTATTCTTTGCATTTTTTTATTTGGTTATTACCCCTGCCTAGGGTGCCTTCATGTGCGCTTTGCATAGGGTGGTGGCATCTCGCCATTTTGTCACACACCTTTACTTTTATTTTTTGTTCAGAAGCGCGTGAAAGAGCGTGTCCCTGCACGCGCTTGTGGCGCTGACTGTGCTATGGCGACATTTTGTTTTCGTCGATTTCTTTGTATTTTTCCCGTGAGCGCGTGCTGTCGGCATGTGGTACTACAAAGGGTGGCATCACCCTAAACAGAAGGACATTGAGGCACCCCACCCCTGCCCATTTTGATCTGGATGAGTATCGTACCGCGCCAGCCGGCGCCGACCTGCTCGTGCGGACAAGACCGCGCAATTTCAACCTTGCCAAATCTATATGTTCACGCGCAAGCTGCACGAGCTTGCATTCATGGGGCACCAGTCGTGGCACCATGCTTGCAATTGTCTATACCCTGTCTCGTGTAACATTACAAAGGCTAAACGTACGCCCAACGGTAGCGGCAAAGGTAGCGGGAAATTCCCCTCAAAAGGATTCATATATCCCTCCGACGTCGTGGCCAACGCGGGAGAGGGTTTTGCCTTCCTGTAAATATTTGCTTTTTCTTTCGACTTTGACTTAGCGTTGTGCAAGCCACGAGAGGGAGATTAGAGTTTTCCCCCTCCGATGAAAACAAACGGGCGCATCACGCTTGTTATGGTTCCTATCTTTGTTATGGTTCATATCCTACAAGCGACAAGTTCGATGGCGCGTAAAAAGCACGATGGAAGGGTAGCAATCACGTTCCTCAATCAACGCCGTGAAGGGTGACAGTCTGACATTGCTCTTATTTGCGTCGATGAGAGCACAAATGATCCTACTCAAGACGTCATTGTAAACGTTTGGCCAATCGTGGATGGCCGATCACAGCGACGCTTCAGGTCGCGCACGTCGCCAATAAAGAAATACTTGAAAGACACACGGAAACACATTGAAGAGCTTTAGGTACGCACGGGCTCTTGCGCATTTTTAACTCGTATCAAAAATTTTTTTTTTCTCATTGTGCAACTTTCCTGACTTGGCCACTGGTTAAAAATGTCATACTTGAGCATGTAGACCAGGCGTCTGCAAACCTTGGTCCGCGGACCAGATTCGGCCCGCCCGGGCCTGCCCGGTCAGCAGATGCCTGCGGTTTTTGCAGTGACGCTCATGTTTGTACATTTTGTATTTCCTCATTTATCCTTGTTTATTTTCGGCCTCTTGATACTGTGACAGATCCCCAATCCGGCCCCTTAGCCGATACGCTTTTAGACTTCTGATGAAGACAAATATAAGTACATGGGAGTTTACTTTTCGTCCAATTTAAAAGGCAATAGGGAGTTTTCGTAAACCGTGTTTCCCCCTCCGCTAAGCCTTCCGCAACGAAGAAGTTGCTACTGCGCCTGCCGGAACTCTACAGTTTTGACTGTAGAGTTCCGGGTATCGCAGCGGGTAGCGGAGGGCGGAGAATGGTGCGTCTTATCCGGATATATTTTGAGAATACATCGCGTGACGTAGAAAAGATTTTGAAATATTCTTGTGTGATATATATCCCCCACTGGATTACCTGTCATATAAATTAGGGCGGGTTCAAAACCAGGCACTAAGGTTTGCGACAAGTGACGTACTATAGCACCTACACCAGTTGCACGGAAGTGTAACACAGATTAGGTTGGGATTCTCTTAAATATCGAAGGGGGAAGTGTTTTAGGTTTAAGTTTATTCACGCCATTTATTATGAAGACGTCGGCTCGCTCCGAGTGAAGGTTTGTCGTAGCTTTTTCCGTTTGGAGGTCATATGTTACTCAATGTTTTGCCATCACAGGTTAGTTCAAGTCACTGCGTGCAAAGTGCCAAGGGGAGTTATAAAAAAAAAAAAAAATGGAGGTTTTTTTTTTTTTTTTTTAATATCTTGACACCCACCCAATCTTGCCACTTTTTCGGAAATAGCTGCATTTCCGCCTTAATAACAAGGACACAATTAAGGGTAGTTATATTAATTTGATATATTTGTAAAGATAATTTAAAGACAAGCATTTTGATATGTTTTGTTAAGCATTACAAAAAAGAACTTTCGGGAAAAAAAATTGTGAATATGTCTCTAAAAGGCGTTTTATAGCATGTTCGATTTTTTTTTTTTTTTGCATAGAAATATTTTATTGATATTTTTAATTTTTGTGTATGTCTCGTAAAACTCTTGTAAAATGTACTAAAAAGTTATGGTGACGTGAAAGCTTTAATGGAAAAATGGCGACTGTGCAAAGTAGCATCGCTAAATGTCCTCAATTTCCTCGCCTCGAGCTTCTCTATTTTATATCTCAGCGAAAAAAAAAAAAAATTGTAATTGTTACGGCGTTTATATATAGCTAAATGTTCCTCCCAAAAACATGGCTTTCATATATATTTTCAACAAAAATATCAAAATTATGACCCGGACCATCACTGCATGAACTGACTGATCGAGAGTTCGCGCATCCGAGATGCATTCTTCAACGAAGAGCTCGCGCTTGCAGCCTAGTAGCTTAATTGTTGTACAGGGGTTTAACATGGTAAAAAACTGGGAAGCAGAAAATAAAGCGAAACAAAAGGCAAATGAACACATATAGGTATAAACTATGTGAATATGCCATTTTTAGCGATCGATACATGAGAACCGGGACTTGTAGCCGGTTGCCTGCGGGCCGCGTCCCCGCGAGTCACAGGCCCTGCACTAGGACGACCTCTAGGGTAATCTCAAGGGCGGCCTCTTGGACGACCTCAAGCGCGGCCTCTTGAGTCTTGGGTGACCTCAAGGACGACGCGTCTTAGGGGACGATGTCGAGGGCGACGTCTAGGACGACGTCAAGGTCGTTAGGTCCTTCGAAAAGGGTGCGAATGTGAACTAGGAGTGCGTACTGCTGCTCCGGATACTCGCGGCGCAATGGTCTGCAAGTACTGTAAGCTCAAATGGTCTACTGCGCATCCCTAGTGCTCATCAGGAGGCCAAATACCAGATAGGCAGAAATCTGTGATGAGTAGCTTAATAATATGGTATCGGATTAAAAGTAGCAGAATTTCGTTACTTTACTGATTTTTTTTTTTTTTTTTATGTTTATGTACCCCCTCTTCCCGTATAGTGTCAGCTATGATAGGGCTCTACGCTGAACAGGAAACACGGCATATATCTATCTATACACCGTGGTATGAAACGAAGTATATACATGGAAGAGAGATACAGAAGTGTGCAGCAGTTCCACGCGTCGCTTCTTGCTTCCGCCCTCCAGAGCTTCGTGTGCGAACAAACAAATTCGTAAAAATACAAAAAAAAAAAGTCGCCGGGCAGCACGCTATACACACAAACGTAGTGTTCCCCCGCCAGAAAGGTCTCTCGACGTGAATAACGTTGTACAGCTGCTCCTCTGGACGTTCACAGCTGGCTGGGAGAGCGTTCGGCTTTTTGGCTTTCAGACGAGCAGGCGCGAACTAATAGGAAGGCAAGTTATCGGCATTCGATGGACCTGCGGGCCGTTTGGTCCGGCCAGTCCGGCTTCACGCAGAGTCCGCGCAAGCCCCGCGAGCCTCGCGTCGTTGAACAGCGAGTGCAAGTACGTCAAACAAATTCTACGAAGTTTTAGGTACGTCTGCTCACGTTTCTAAATGCTTGGGGACACCTGTACATACATCGTCAACTAACTGTGCTCGGCGTCAACTCTTTCTTTTCTTTTTTAACAGAAACACTATGAAGGACTGTGAGGTCGTGATGTCACGTGACAGCGTGAAGTCTCACGTGACGTCACACTCACGCGTCACTGACGCCACATAACACCGTGACGTCATGTTTTCGCGTGGCATTACGACGTCTCGTGATGTCACGAGGTCACGTGACTGTGACGTCACGTGTTACCGAAACGTCAGAGTCGCGTGACGCCATGACGTCGCGTGATGTCATAGGTTGACGTGACGTCACAAGTATGTGCCGGTTCATCCAAGGTGACTTGATCAGTTCAGTTGTGGAGGCTCAGCGGGAGTTCTAATTCACTACGTGGTGACCCCACCCTACTAGGGACCCAAATCGAAAATAATAGCGGTTCGGTTACTGTTGTTTAGAGCAGGCGATTTCCTTTCCAGCCTCCGCTCTGCTAAAGCGGAAAGAGGTGGGAGGAGCGTCCTCTGAACTCTTGACCTGAATTGCTAAAACGGCCTGTCGCCCAGGGATACTCGCATCCCGTGACGTTCTAGCTTAAAACCGCCCCCTTAAAAAAAAAAAGAAAAGAAAAAGGGAATGGGAGATGAAGGGTTGGAAAAATATTTTGTATAGCTGAGTAAATAAGCAGACTGACTAGGCGGACGAACAGTATTTTAACCCTCAAGTGTATTTTACAAGTCAGGAGGGGGAGTGGGCGCAGATTAAGAAGATCTGTCAAGTTTCAAGCTTACGTTAGGTCGGTGTCCCCCTTTAAAGGGATACTACAACGAAATTTCGGCGCTCATTTTTTGGTCTATATGTGTTCAAAAAAGCAGTATCACATGGAACATACCAATATCTTGTTAAAAAAGTCTTGAAAAGGAGTTTTAAAACGAATTAAACGATTAGCAAAGAGCACCTGGTGGATGTCGCTAACGCCTCGTTTGTAATGCTCGTCTAGGAACCTTGACAGCTAGTGACGGGGGTTGTCTCGTCTCCGGCCACGACGAGAGAAGGGGGAAGGAGGAACTCCCCTCTTCCCGAGAATCCCTTTTGTGTGTCGCAGAAGTCGCTATTGTCCCCCTAGAAGATTATAGAAGATTAACCCGTCACTCAAAATTCGTACAAAAGCAGCCGCTTCGGTGGCTGGAACGACTAGGCCATCCTCT